AAGAAACTTTATTGTACTTAGTAAAAAATAGTAGAGCAACAGCAGGTATATATATTGGCGAGTGTTACTTTGAATATAAGGGCCCGCATAGATTTGACATTTTTATAATTTTTTTTTATATAAATATGAAATACATGGTATATCACTTTATTGCACAACGTAATCAATCGTTTATTATTTTTGTACAACAATATACTCTGCGATTAGGTTAAGCACCGTTGTATCCATCTGAAAGAAAAGGGGGCTAAAAAACAAACAATGTATCAATATCCCGTACAAAATGTTACCACCATAATAAATTTCTAGTGAGATGCGGTACATAGTGGCAATATGTACATATCGTTACAATGTGATGGCATCCCGCCGCTAAGGAAACTTACATGGCCCATAGGTGTACTGTTATGAGTACACGCATCAAATTCTATACGGCCCGTTTAAAAAGATAGCCGTGTAATAGACCAATCGAAGTCCCAATTGTATAATAGTGAAACTACATAATAATTTAGTATAGTTCGCTGTTCGGCTTCCCGCATAATTGAATACTTTTTTATAATGCGTATAATTCCAATAGTTACCATCAGAGTTTTAAGTGTTAACTGCTAATATAAATTCAACATATTTCATTCATATAAAGGTTACTGTTACTCAAAAATTGGACGCAACTAGAATACATTTTTACAGCGACTAAAACTATTTAATTAACAAATTTTTTTCTATAACAATGAATATTATTTTCTAAATTTAATTCCTCAACAGTGGAGTAAACCCCCTGTAGTTCGCCTTAGTAGCGCCTACATCTTTGTGTTAAGGTACATGATTAATTACTTCTCTTGGAATAATTTGATAAAACACTAGACTTCCTAAATAAAATATTAGACATAAACATGTATTGTTAAACTAAAATTAAAAAAAATACTAAATTAATCGAATATTTAGGACATCGTAGATCATTTGATCAATTATCTTAAAGAATTTTTTTTACGTTCATTGTATTGTTGAATGGAAATACACAAATCTGTTTTTTTTTTTTTGAGTTCTATAAAGTTATTATTAAATAAAAATGTAGATTTTAAAATTGTATAATTTACACAATGACTTATAAGAAATATATTCTATAAAATCCAACATTTTTTAGTGTAATTGTAATATAACCGTTGGTAAAAAACCTTGATAATAATTTTTGTACAATCATTTAATCTAAAAAAAAACAGAAATTTTCTACGTATCCTTTTAGTAACTTAATATACTTACATATTGTAAAGATAAAAATATACTTGCATAATTTATGTATTATACCATAACGGTTATTGGTGAGTACATAGTAATCTCAAATCTAAGCGCGGATTATACCATATGGGCCTATGATTGTGTACCCTCGCTAATAATGCCTACAGTGACAAAATGACAACCCCGGTCAAAAAAAGAAAAAAATATGTGTAACGGATTTATCGGGAGGGTGCAGTTGTTAGAATAGTAACGGTGCAAGCGTCGCGTGGCCTGCTATACGGACAACTGCCGCAATGGTGGGCGTGGGAAAGCTGTGCTGGTTGTTTATATTAGTCGCTCTTTAAAAGTACATATGAACTGATAATGGTACACACGGTCGTTTATGTGCAGATCCCTAGAGCTTAAAAACAAAAACTGGCCAAAGTATTGAACAACCAAGTACAAAAAAACCACCAACGAGCTATGGTACAACTACAGTGTATGGACTATCAGCTGTCTATATATCACAACAGTACACCCTTTCCACTCTTTATTCCCTTTTTCCATTGAAATTACATTATTACGCTGTATACACTACTGGCGCGTGACTTCCACCGTTGGAACGCGTGTGCAACATATTACTTATACAAAATAATTAATTAAAAGCAAGTGCTCATGCTAATTCAGTCTTAAAAGGATAAATGTATAACTTATAAGTTATAAATTAATAAAATTACCGTATTTATAAATACGGTAATATTTTTTTTTTCAGGTAATAAATATTGTGTTTTATTATGTATAGAATTATCATAAAACAATAAATTAGTCACAAAATAAATACAAAATTGAAAACAAATATTTATTTTTTTAAATACATATATTTTATGATTTATCAGAAACATACATATTTAACAAGCCAATAAAATAGAAAATGATCTAATTAAGAGAATACCAGGTCGACAACAACTTTTATACTAGTACTTCAGAAGTTAAGACGATTCTAAAGTATAGACTGAGGAGAAGCGCGGGTATGACTATTTGTATCATTGATATTACTCGGCCACATTCCTCCTTTCAACCACGTAAAAAAACTATAAAAACTTTCAAAGTACTAGTCCAAAAGTTGTTATCGACACTTCATCTTCACAAATGGAATTTTTTCTTTTATATAATCTATATAAATAAGTATGTTGCCGTTTAAAAAAAATTAAGTTGACAACTCAAATGGATGATGCTAAAAAGTAACTTAACTAATAAATCAAAAAACATATGTAACTAAAAAAATCTCATTTTACTATTGACGAGTACTAGGAGGCAAGCTTTTCATTAAACATACTTATAAATCTATTTTACATGACGTTCAGTCAAAAAAATATAAATAAATATTTAACAACATTTAATGAAAGGGATAGTCTTTAATATATATTTAAATAAATGTTGTACATTTATACAGTGTGGTTCTTTTATCATAAACCACTTAATTAATCGAAAAATTAAATTAACATTCAAAATATTTTTATGCTTTCCTCAATTTATCAATCGTGAAATATTTTTTATGTTTGTCCCTTATAAAGGTAATATATTAGTTTTTCAAGTGCACATTCAACATGCACAATTAGGTAGCTTATTTATTAGATTATTATTTTATTAAGAAAATAACTAGTTGATAACAACTTTTGATTTTTAACATTTTTATATCTAGTCAGGAAGAGGAGCGCACTACTCTTTCTTCCTAGACTAATTGAGAAAATGTCGAGTGATAATAATAAAAGCACCCTCGCCTTACCTCTAGCCATTACTTAAAATGTTTAACAACTTCTGAAAAATTGGTTCATCAAATGTAATTGAACAGTCATTTTCTTAATGAGATCATAATTTAATAAATAAGCTAGTTAATTATATACATGATTAATAAATCAAGGAAAGTATGTAACAAATAAAAAACAGTGAGTGGTAACTCTCAAAAAATATTTATGAGTGTAGCAATATAAACAAGTATTTTTTAAATTAAAAAAAATTATACTTAATAAATATTTTATTATAAATATATATATTATAATATATAATATAATTCATATAATCGTATTATACAGTATAAGTACATTAAGTATACTATAGTATACTTAAAAAATCGGGGAGTAGTTACTTATTAAAAATCATACTATGTATAGTTATTTTAACACATAACACTTCAACCGTAGAAGTCGTTTGAACAACCGAAAATTCCCAATAAATTTTATCAGAAAAACGATATCGATAGTATACATTATGTTATAATCATTTTTATTAATTATAAAACAAATATAGAAGAATTATAATATAAAATAAAAAATCTACCGGCGTACATAAAGAGTATATTTAACGCGTTCTGTATAACAGCCGCAATAAACGCTCGAACATTTTCACTCTTCAAACGATAATATCTAGACACCGCGATGTTTTCACATCATAAATTATATTAATTTTTGATTAAATAAGTAGACTATGATAAAATAATTATCCTGTATAAATGTACAATATGTTCAGAGCGATCAAAATCTAGTAAGACAGTAATTTTTTCAGAAACTATTGAGAATTTTTAATTTTTATAAAGAAAAAAAATATCAGGTTCAAAAAACTTTACAATACTATGTTATTTGTCCCTTTAGGAAAAAAAATTCTTATTTATAATTTTCTTGACTGGGAACCCTAATTTTTAACTTTATAATTGATAGAAAAAATAGTTACAAAAAACTTTGTTTTTATAATTTTTTTTCAACGATCAGCCGTTTGCGTTTCAGAGATTGTTTAAAGGTTTGATTGTCCAGTAAAAAATCATAATTGATTTGGTTTGATAACATCGGTGGCAATAATCTGTTAAAATAGTCCATAAATTACTTGATATAATAGTTATCACGAAAAAATGTCCAAGTCAGCTAATTAATGAGAGATAACAATAATATAAGGTCGCTATCGAAATAAATTATTGCTGCCACCAGTATTCTATTATAATCAAACTTAAATCAAAAATATAATGTAATAGAAAAATAATTAAATAAAACTGCAATATATTTTTTTAAATTATTTATCAAATTTGTAATGTATATTAAATTAATTCACTATTTGATATCTTTATACTAATTGTAACCCTAACATTTATGCCTAATTAATCCTTGATGAATTTATCATTTCGTCAATGCAATACTAATATTTTAATAATAATCAATAATATAGAATTAAAATTTGCAATATCTCATTTTATTTTTACAATTTGTTAAATGTTTTAAATAATAAAAAAAAATTCTTTTAAATTAAAAAAAATTAATGATGGCAAGTATAAGATATACCTATAATTGTTTTCTAAAAAAAAACACTACACTATATACTATCAAGTATTGACTTTACAATTGACAAGCTACCTTAACTGATTTTTAAATCATTTATAGCTGATTATGTGCAAAAAAAAATGTCAGGAAACAAATTTTTATTAGCATATGTTCAATGGGATGGGGCACGTGTCCCTAAGGCCTCTCTAAATAAGCCACAAAATGGTTATAACCATAATATTAGACTGATTTTTAAGCTTTATTAAATCTATAAGGTTTTTTTTTTTTTTTTTAATAAAAGTTTAACCGATTAAAAAACTGTTTATTCAGTTAACTCTTTTAATTCATAATATTGGCAAAGTTTTAGCTGTGACAAACGTGATTTTATTTTGATTTTTATGCAAACTGACTAGACTGTACACAATTATTTATTTGTTCATCTTTATTGAATTGCGCCGTGTCCAGCTGCGGTGGTGACGGCATGATGATGTGCAGCTGCAGAAATTGTTAACAAGGGGTGGTTGGTGCAGGCACGAGCCTCATAGGAAAAAATGTACCGTTAGTCGCGTTGAGTAGGGGTGTATTGCGCACGGGCCAATAGAACAGCCTGAGGGCGGTCCCGCGTCTCAACCGTTTTTATGAACATCGGTATCGGTGGCCGGTTTGAGTCTCAGTCGGCAATCGGCCAGAACTAGGCCACGACGACAGTACACCGTGTGCTGTGTGTCTCACCACACCGGAAAAAACGAATTAGTCTACGAACACTTGTAGCCAAAATTTCTAAACACCAAAAACATGTCGACGAGCTACAACAATAAATACACAACACAAAACACATTCCCAGATGATCAATTACCAGCTACAGCCAGCGCTCAATCGTGGTACGATATGATGATTCGACAACAGCAACACGAAAGTTTGGTGGAAAAACTCTTCTTACACGAACAACAGCAACGCTTACAGCACCGGCTACTACTGAGGGATGATGATTTAGATGATCGTTGTAGTTCGGAAGAAACATTTCCAATCGACTTTCGACAACACAAATGGCCTATCACGACGTCTCGATACTTGCAGGCTCATGCAGTCCAAGACGATCCTCAACCTTGTAGCCCTCTGGACTTGTCCGTAAAAGGTCAAAACCACGCGAAAACGACAACATTGCTTCAAGTTACAGCAACGGTGAACCACCGTCAAGAGGAATATTTCGACAAAGGCTCGACTACTCCGGTAAAACACAGTCTACCGGATTCTAACGCAGTCTCTATAGAGTCCAAATGCAAAAGTAAAAAATCTAAACAACACTCGCCGGTATTAAAAATTAACAACAACAACAATAACAACGTGGACGAACACAACGACGGCAAGTTGCTGAAGAAACTTAAAGCTGCATCAAGGAAGTTGAACTTTTCCCAAAAGGCTGGACGTTTAGACAAGTCGTCTCCCGTTTCAGGTACGATTATAATTGAAAAGCCCACAGACTTAGGTGACAGTGAAAAAAGTGAACGGTCGGAGAATCGGAAACGACCGTGGCAAGATGATAATAAAACGTCTGAAAATGCATTCGACAAAAGGGACGACTTGTCGGAAGAGTATCGCGTACGAGATGTAGGAAACGAAGACGACGACGAATTTAGTGGTGACATTGATCCTAAGTACAACGTTGTTGCCGTGACGAACGAAGCTCGAAGTTTACTAGCCGAAATTCCCAACGTTATTGGCGAATATCGGTGTAAATTGTGCGGTACCGTTTACGATGATGCTTTTGCTTTGGCCGCCCATAGGTGTAAGTGCATAGTGCATGTCCGTTACCGTTGCCCCGAGTGTTCCAAAGTTTTCCAATGTCCGGCTAATTTAGCATCACACCGCCGGTGGCATGGCGCCACTACCGGTAAACTTGCCGCCGGCTCTATCGAGACGAAAAAACTCCATCACGACGCGTCCAAAGAACGAAATGATCTACAGACCATCGATGACTCAGTCGAGCGACCAGCTCAGTCTCCAGCTTTTTCAACAACATCGGCCACTTCAACGGGAAGTTCTGGTAGCATTCCAACTACAGTGAATAATGTTTTCTTCAAGAAGAACATGTTACAAAGAGCAGCCATTGAAGCCAACAACAACATTTATAAAACAACCGACAACAATATGGTAAAATAATTATATTTATAATCAATCATACCAATTAAAGTTATTTATCATTGACATTAAGTAAAATAATAAGTCTTAAAAATTTCAAGTTTTTAGTTTTCAAATGTAAAACATACACATACATGCGTTTTTATAGATTTTAGATAATTAACAAACATTTCTAGTCAATCAATAATAATGTGATCTCAAATCTAGTAAAAAAACAATCTAGTCAAATTCAAAATTATTACTCATCTAGTCTAAAAAAACAAAAATGAAACTCACATAGTTCTAGTCGAATGAATTGTAAATATTACTCAAAGATTAAACTCTAGTCATTATAAAAAATCCTAGGTTTAATTTTGAAGCCATTCTAGTCATTCAGTTAATAATTTTAAGATCTCAATTTCTAGTCATTTAAAACACAAATAAAAAAATTAAAACTATTTTTCTTCATAAATTTATATGTATATTTTTTAATCTGGTAAAAAAAAATTAGTAATCCCACCGACGTTAGTTCTCATTAAGTGTAGAGAAGTTCCTATTTAAATTAGAACATTTTATTTAATTTAGTCAATCTAATCCATTTCTAGTCATAAAACTACTCTTAAAAAACTCACTTTTCTAGTATAGTTCATTATTATGGTAGACCCTTGAAAAAATTCATAGGTGTCTGCTTTTGATCTCAATAGCTATAACGTATCATAAATATATTTAATTATAGATGTAAAAACCCATGATCTCATTCTTAATTTAAATTATAGTCAAAGTAGGTATTTTGCAAAAGCGCATGTAATAAAAACTTTAGTACTGCGTATTGCAGAATAAAAAGTCATACTCTTACCTCTTTTTACGCCTAACATTTGTATTTTGCGAGCTAAGGCACAATAGTAGTTGATTAACAACACGGTCATTTAAGTCACCGTGAAACTATTATTCTCTTTCGTTTTTAACACGTATCTCGTTGCTATTTACTACAGCGGCTCAAAATTTACAAAAGTGATGTAAATTAAAAAAATGTATATATTATTAAATATGTTATAAGAAATCACTATGATCTCATCAGATATAATAAAATAATTTATTTGTAAATAATAATTAGTCAAATAGGGACATTGCCAGTATATATTTTTTATTAAAAAATAAATAATTTATTGTTGAATCGTTTGTAAAAAAAATTTAGTCATAGTTACTTTAGATATTGTACATTTTATTCATACCTAAATCGTCGCATCAAACTCGACGTGCGGTTCAGAGTACGTTCTAGTCATTCCTTTATAGTCAAATGTAGTTTCACTTGCTTCAATGGAATCTGTATAATTGTTTTTTAGTATTTTATAGTTCAAAAAATGTAATTAATTTCTTTTGCAAGTACAGACTCCACTGCAGCAGATGAAAATGCTAGCTGTAAATAATTCTAGTCATAATTAATATTTAACTTAAAATTGTCTATGTAGAAATATATATATATATTTATTTATTATTTTTAAGTTACAAATAAATAGTATAAATTATATTCTAGTTTTAAATGTAGATAAAATTATAAAATCTAGTCGGTTAACAAATAGACCATAGTCATGTAAATTTTTTTCCTAATATGAAATAATACGAAATACAACTTTAAGAATTTGATAATTAATTAAGACTTAAATGCACTTTACCATACCCCTTAAGAATTTTTTTTTTGTCGATTGGTTTTTCTCACCCGGTTACGAATATGTAAAAATTAAAAAACTACAACAAGCTAAACTTTATCTAGTCTATTCTAGTCATTGTATATTAATTGTCAAATTTATAACTGATAATTGCTCATGAACAATTACTAAATTAAAATATAAATATATATATTGAAATGAATAACTTTGAAAAACATATTTAATAAAAGAACGCGTGTATGTGTGTGCTAAGTATATATGGTGTAAAATAAAATACAAAAAATTAATTAAATTGATACAATTATGATTATTATTATAATTATAAATTAAAATAGTTTTGTTGTTTGGCCATTATAATCATGTATTATATGTAATAACTCAGTGGTGTAGTTAGGATTTATATTGGAAGAGAGGCTAAGGCCTTTTATATATAGTTTTTGTCTTATAATATACTCTTACTAGTGTCATAGTCACTACTAAGTCATATACTATTTATAGTAATAATTTGCCAATGAAAAGGGCAATAACACTTTAGACCCCGCTTTGGCTCCTCTACTCTAATAGCTATCTATTTGTAGATAATTAATAATATCTTACAATATTTTTATCTGCACAAAAATTTAATCGTTTGTAAATATTATTTATTTTTCAAAATTTTATTGTAAAAAATATATTATATGTAGTATTATGGCTCTACAGTATAGTTATTACAAGAATATTTTACACCATTTCTATAAATGTATTTTTTATTATTATCATTTAAAAATTGTTCGTTTTTATTATATTTTCACTATTTTTATTAGTAATCATAGATAGTATTATTTTTAAATTCCAAGAATGTACAAATTCAGTGAATAATGCACCAAAATACTTTTATTTGTTTTTTTTATTTAGTAAATATGAACAATAATTTAACATATCTACAAGAATTTAATTATTAAATTTTTATTGAGTCTACAATATTTTTCTATACTTTGTTCAATTATTATAAATTATTATATATTTTATCAAATGAATAAAAAATATTTAAGTTTACATTAGAATCTTGTTTGTTTTTCAATTTATTTCCAAAAAATTTATGTTGATAAAAAAATCAAAATTTTACAGTGTACAAATTTGTATACCTAATATTGAAATTATGTTTTTTTATATTTTAAAAAAACATTAAATTAACTATTAAAAAGGTAAAAATCTGATTTTGTTTTCAAATTTGTTAATGTTTATTTAAATTTAATAATTATAAACTTAATTTTTTTTTAATAGCATTACATATTGTGCTCGTGAACATATTAATTTTTCAAATAAGTAAAATAATGCAAATATTTAAGACGGCGTAGTATGTATGCAATAACGTTACATTAATGTATTTATCAGTTTACATAGTATTTTATAGTGAGTAATAGTGGAAAAGACTAAATAATAATAGCAATAATAAATACACATCATTCTAGGATGATTTTATCGAACAGGCGAACTAGGCTACAGAGAAACCCCACAGGGCTGTTACTCATGTTTATATGAACTATTAGTAATGGAAATAGCTCTAATTTATCGAGGTTTCATAATTCAAACATTTCTGAGTTCAAAATCCGAAATTCAATCATTTGTCGAAAAATTATTTAAATACAAAAAAATTAGTTTAATGAATTATTTTAATCAATATTACAATAAATAATTAACATTTAAACCAACTTTTCTAAAAAGGTTTCTTAATAATTTATAAATTTTAATATCCAAAATCTGATAATCGAATTTTTAAAAACACAAATGTATCCGAATCGGTAAGGCGATAGTGCATAACGCCTACTGACTCAGGTTCGAAACTCGGTCACTGGCGGCTTCATTTGCCAAGAGAGAGATCAGTTCGATAATTGAAGTCGCCATCCCAGACTAGGTGACGGACAACCAACAGTCCCGGAGTATCAATTGTTAAAAAAACCTCCCCTTGAAGGATCGCTATGTCATTAAAAAGCAAAAAAATCGATAACTCTTATTTTTATGAACAATCCACTTTTTTTTTTTTAATTAACATTAATATGATTTATCAATATTTGAATACATGCCATAAATTTATTAGGTCAACAAAATAATAAAAAACGATCTTTTAGTCCTATTTAAATTATTTTCTTTCAAAACTTTATAAAACATTCCCCATTAAAAAGTGTTTTCTTTAATTATTTTGAAAAACTAAAAAAGTTTTATTAAAAATTACACAATTTGATGATTTTTGCAATGTAATTGTACACAAGTTCCAAGTTTTAGATTACCAAAAAAATACATCAACATTCATATTAGATATTTATCATATATATACAATTTTAAGATGTGTAAAAATAGGCGTAATAGAGGTATTTATGAAACAATTACATAATCTCCTGATATATTAAATTTTATTTGATAACACGTAACAAAAATTTGTATTTGGGAATAAAATATACTGAATGCACATACAAAGAACTCTATTTGTACTTCTATATGTGCATTTCATGCTAACTTAGAAAAACCTAGTTTGATGAACCTAATAAAATAATTTCCATATGCATAATTTTGAAGTAAAATAATTTTTTGTATCAAAATAAACCAACCAATTTTAAATATTTCTATGTTATAATGTTAAATACTCAATGGTTTAGTCAATGTTAAAGTTTCAAAATTCTGGTTTTTATTAATAAATCAATTTTCAAATAGGCACAAAATATATATAAACTTTTTAAATAGTAGAATTTTTAAGGGGGTTTACTCTAATTTCATCCTCACGAAAATTTTTTTTATAAAAATACGTAGTTTTTATAAATTTTTAGACGGGTTGAATAACAAACTGAAGAGGAGTTATTATTTACCTCAAATCGCCACTTACTACTTTCACCTCAACTATAGGCGTTTATATACGAGATATGTTCAGAAAATAACGGAATTTTTTTTAAATATATATTTATTTGTCTACATAAATCTTTTCGCCTTCAAAAAAGTCTTCATTAGATATTATGCCATTGAGGAGGTATTATATTGCAAATTTAATTTCAAGTAACTTTAGTATGAAACCTTTTATTGGTGACGAACAGTTGGTGAAATATTTTTGTACTTAAAAAAAAAAAAATTCCGTAAAAAATAAAAAGATAATTTTTTTAATTTTTACGGAAAAGTATTGACTTTTTGATAAAAAACATAAATGTCTTTTTTATAGTAAATATTTTGGTCTACAAATTAAGTTCTATTAATTTTTATTGGAAGTTTTTTAGATTTTGAGTTAAGTTCAAAAACTGAAAAACAATCCCTCAGGCTCAATTTTCAACCCTCTTGTGGCACGTGTTAAAATTGATTTACCATGGCCAAATTTAGTAGGTTTAATTTTTTTACTATTCCAACAATATGTGGAGGTTATCAATATGTGTATTGATCAATATTTACAAATTTGTTTTCTAGGATCACCCTATTTGTCATCTTCAATGTCTTCACGGCTATTTTGAAAACTATATTTAATTTTTAACGCAAAATTTGATACAACTTTTGACCTTATAAAAACACATATAATCTTAGCAGCGCCATTGATAAAATAAAAATGAATCCAGGTGAAAACTTCATCATACTTCAAAGCACATGTGTACCAACATTATGAAAAAAAGAATTTGATAATCGCACTCTCCAAACAAGGAAATTTAAAAATTCCCGTTATTTTCTAAACACACTTCGTACATGTAAGATTTGTAATAAGGGCCTTATATTTTTTCAAGTTGATTTTGTCTAATCAACTGTACTGTACAATGTTCCTACAGTACAATATACTGTAGGAACATTTGTTTACAAATATATTTTGATAAGTAATAATATTTTTTTTATCGAATTTAGGGTTTTATGAAATCCTTAGTTGAATTATAAAATTCTTAATAAGACATTATAGGGCAGATCAAATTTTTAAAATAAATCGCTCACAATAAAGAATTTTTCAAAATTATCCTTAAATAATAGTTAAAATTATAATAAAACTAATTTTTTTTTTTAGTAATTAAATTATACTGAAATTACTATATAAGTAGTATCAATACTGTACCGTGTAATTCAAAGTTAATTAATACCTAACACTGATTATTTCATTATCTTGTTACATACAATTTTTTTTCTTGCAAAAACAAGTTAAGACATTGTAGCCATGTAAAATTGTAACATTTAACCTCGTACAGTAATTTTTCATGTACATCATTATCACACGAAATTATATTATTACTCTTAAAATGTCAAAATAGGTAATGCCTAATTTATCTAATAACTAAATCTTACCTTAAATCCTTAATCCAAAAAGATAAGTCAACTAAAATTCTTTACACTATGAGAATGAATTTTAATTTTGGTAAGATTCCAACATAATTTTTACAAAATAATTAGTTTTGGCTGAAGTTGATACAGTGTTATAACAATTAAAAGGATAACATATCTCTATTATAACAGCTTGTCAGTGAATCAACTAGTTCAGTGTTGACCAGTGACGTATTTAGAGGAAGATACAGAGGTATGAACTCCTCCGTTATTCATTCTAAGATGATATAAAAATGTTAGTTGAATTTTAGCTTCGAATGTGTAACTAAGAAACTATTGGTTTTACTCTGATTTTTCTTTTATTGTGACATACACGATTACTCCGCTCCTACAAGACCGATTTTGTTAAACGGTACGTCGAAAGATCACAAAACGTATCCAGTTGAAGCTATCAGCACTTCAGTTTTAAAAAAATCCTCCTCAACACACATAATAAACAAATGTCACAAAAAATTATAATTTTTATAAAACAGTAAAAAATGTTGATATTTGTAGTTTTCATTTCATATTGAAATAACTTTTTTTTGAATAGACTGTTCATTGTGAAAGATTTATTGGCAATACTTCAGACTAGAGGCGTAATTAAGATTTCATATTGGGAATATAGAGGTATCATATTTACCTTACCGACGACATACTTTTTTGAAAATCCAGTCATTAACAAAAATACAAAGGTAAGCAATTAAAACCATATCAAATATTTTTTCTTCTAAATTTTTCATCATGTCCAAAAAACCTTTTTAACCCTACATCAAATCAAGCTAATATTATGTAATTTAAGAAGAAAAAAGAAAAAATATTCGAAATCTGGACATCTAGGAGATACTGTGTTTAAAGCCAAAAAAAAATCGTTCAATTTTTTTATAAAAATGACCGATTTTAAATGTTTAAATAAAATTTATGTAGCGTAGAATTATCATATATTGAATAGACTATATTTTTTAATATTCTCAAAACATTCGTATTAGTTTAAAAATCTCTATTATTCATGTTAAGATTAATATGAAAATTAAAAAAGTAATGTAAGATCTAGTCATTAGATCTTCAATAAAGGTGTTTAACTGGAAAAAATGACTCGTAGAATATGCCATTTTATTTCTTATTATCACATGAATGCTATAACATGAAACATGTTACAACTATAACTTAAAGCATAGTTAATTTTGAGAATATAGAATAAGCACAAATGTGCGCTTAGCATTATTTCAGGGCAAAAATTTTTCACAGTTGTGAACAAATTTTGGTCCTAAAAATTACTATTTCAATTAATATTTTAGTCAAAGGAAAAAAAAATTTATAATAATAATATTTTAATATTTATAAATTACAATAATAGTCCTAATGATAATTTAATAATAATTGTGTGTATATCCTCATACATATACAGGTGGCTCAAATTTGAACTATATATCAAAATTTTAATATTGTTTTAGTAGTTTCATTTGTAAGTTTTTGATCCTCCTGATATACATAAATGTTATATACATTAACATTATAATATACTGGTTAGTAAAAATGATTTGCTCGCATACATTAATATATATGTATTTATATATAAGTTCCTATCTAAATGACAAAAGTTTCAATTTTAATTATACAATTTATTAATTAATCGGTCGGTTTTGTACATGTATGCAACGCGTNAAGACATAATGAATTCTATGGTAAACATAAAACGATTTAGAGTAACAATAATAGTAGTAGTCGTAGTAGTAACAAACACATTTTCTATCAACAATAAATGATAGTAAAGAAGCAGAAATAGCAATAGCAGGAATTATACCATCAATAAAAATAAAATAAAACTTATAATAACATGATAAAATAACCAAAATTAAATTTAATTCTATTAAAAATAATTATTTTGGTATTAAATTCTTTGTGTAGTGTATATCACTATCATTTCAATATTAATCTGACTTTAATTTATTGAAAATATATAAGTTTTATGATTATCAGAACACAACTAAAATATTAGTACACAACAAATCTAATATTATAAATCAACAATTATTTTTTTATTTTATTTTTTATTTTGCTTATGAACATGGATTACTTGTTATGTACACACATAAAAAAAGCCACAATGACATATTAATGCTGTTAATTTCTTTAGTCTTACTAGTTTTATTTATTTTTAATTAAAAAAAAAAATGAATATGAAAAATGATTTAAAAAGTAATTAACTTTAATTAAATTAAAGTTTTAGACACAAATAATTTTTATAAATTGCAATACATATATTATATGTATATATGTTAGTGCGTGTTATTTTATTTGTGCTAATTTGAGGTATTCTTACTTATTAATTTATTTATGATTATCATGATTATATAGATCAATAATAAATAAACCACCACATGAAAATATTTTAATACACATACATAAATATTTGATGAAAAATTACACATCATTTAATATAGATAGTATTTAATTCTTGCTTTCCTTAAACAATAAATATTAAAAAATACACTTAAAAAATGCATGCAAATATGACTGCTAAAGCTATTGCTGCCAACACTTTACCACCACTTTTTACTAAACAATTTTTTACTATTTTTAATATTATATATAATACATTTGTATGCTATATAAATATGTATTTATATTGTGTGGTATATATACATAGCAAATTTGAATGACAAATATATATGTAACTACTACAACTTTTACTACTGTTGCGCTGATACAGAATCTATATTATTACTATTGCTACTACTAGTCTTCTTATTATTGTTGTCTACTAATATGGACACAGGGTTACTAGTTTTTCGTATTTTTTGCTGATGGGTAGCTTCAAGTTGTCCCAACCGTTTCCACAGCTCTTCTCGCTCCATCTCTCGTTTTTTCTCTCTATGAGACAAAATTATTTACATTACTAACAAGAATGGTACTAATACAGAAAAACCTCGATATTCTGTACCAAATATGACTACGGTCTGATTTTAATAGCTGGGATTTTTTTTTTGTCAATACAATTATCAGAATACGCATAAAACAATTACTATTTTTTACAATATAAGAGCAAAATTAAGTTTTTTCAAATGGTAAATTTAACATAATAGTATTATAATAGGAAACATAATATAACATAATAGGAAATTTTAACAAAAAAATTTATTATACAAAAAAACCATTATGAATGTCTTTATATAACCCACAAAAGTTTTCCCCACCAGTCCTTAATTAATTTTTTTTTTTTTTAATAATTATTTAAAAATAAACATTGCAAAATTAAGTTAGAGTAAGGGGGATGGCCTAGCCTGGTCTAGTGGATAGAAATGTATGTTTTGGCTCGGGTTCTATCCCCAGGGTACCAATGAGATTTTTCTTGTGATTTTCACATTGATAATATCCGGTCTCTTATGCAAACAGGCCATAATACCCGTCCCATCCATCATTGGCCTAGCCATGACCATCTTTGACTCCCTAACATATGAAAGAGGGCCACCACCCTCTGTAATGTTAAATCATTTCTTATAGTGTAATTTAACTTATCTTAACTTTATCAAACTCATCACCCATGGCCATTCTATTGATTAATATACATTTATATTTATACTGTGGATTTTATTCTTAAATGTAATATACAGTGTGATTTATTTAGTTATAATTTTTTCATTAAATGATATTTTTTTTTTATAAAAATGAACAAATTAAAATATGATTTATTTTGAAAATTGGTCATTTAATCCCTGTTACCATAAGTCAGTGGAATGACATACTGTAGTAGAATAAATTGTAATAAACTAACAGCAAAATCATAAATGCGTGGGGATTGGCAGTTTTGACAGAAAACAATGGCGGGAATTTTCTCGCCAATATGTGGTAACATATTTTATTTGTTTTAATATATAAAAGAAGACTGTAAGAAATAAAAATACAATTACCCTATATATTTACTTAACCAGTTAAAAAAGTTTAAGAATGTACCTAAATAAAACAAATTAAAATTATTTTTTAAAAAGAATTACTTACTTTTGACGTTCAGATTTATAACTGGCAGTTAAATCATCAAACAGTTGACTATTCATTTCCATAAATGTTTTTAAAACATTATAAACGAGTGCTACAATTGTTTGATTCCAGTGTTCTTTACTGATTCTATATAAAGCAGGAAACATGATGGGCATGATTGTCTGGTTATTTTCTTCGATCAAGCTCATTATATATTCATTATTCCATAAATATAGCGCTCTTTCAGCCACCTAAATTAAAATTTCAATTCTTAAGCAAATTAATGAGATTAGTTACAAGATTGTTACAAATTGAAATTTTCAAATTCCTTGAATTTTCCAAGTATTTTGCCAACAAATTTTTAAAAAAATTCTATACCTGTTATTAGTGGTATAGGTATTTATAATGAAGGGAAAAAGGTCGATGAAGTTAATTTGTTAATCTGTTATTAGTAGCATAAATATTAAAATTAAAATTTTCAAAATTCGGAAGTAGATTGAGTTCCAAAAATAATTCCTCTTGCCTTTGCCTCTAATTATTCCATGTTTTCCAAATTTGTAGTAATATTAGCTTAAAATTTACTTATTTTAATAAAATGTTAAAAAGTTATACATAATAATTTCAGAATTTAAGAGCTTTAACTCTGAAATATACACTAATACGAAAAAAAAAAAAAAAGTCCTTAATTTACAATTAATTTTGAATCACAATGTACAAAAAATAAATTTAATAGATTAAAAATAAAATATACCTGAAAATGGGCACTTGATACACATCTCGCAATTTGTCTAAACAAAGGCACTTGTATCTTTTGAAACTGTAATGGTTCTACAACGTCAAGAATTTCTTCCATTTCACCGAGAAACATAACCTTAAAAATATTTATTCATTTTGTAAATTTATAATGTATAAATACATTAATGGCTTTAAAGAAATTAATAGATTTATAGAAGCTAATTACTAATGGCCTAGGTGGTATTTAAGTTAATTAAAAAAAATATATATATATATAAATATATATATATATATATAACAAAAATATATTAAAATTATATTTGAATGATGGAATAATTTTATTTTTATAAAAATGAGACCCACTTTACTCAACAATATAACATTAAAATTATATTTTAGTTAATTAATTAGGCATTTAACTTGTGTTATTTTATGTATAACAAATTAATATACCTCTTTGAGACTACAAGTTTTTGGCCAATACTTTAATAGACCACGAATCACAGATTCTGTAAGTGAACTGTCCTTTTCAATGAATTGTACAACACAGTAAGCTAGTTGTGCGTGATACAAGCTTAAACACTTAACTTTGTGTAAAGGTATTAACACTTTAACCAGGAACTGTTTATGTTCATTCTTCAAAGGAAGCGCAAATCCATTAATAATGCTAAAAAATAAATTAAAAATTTATAATAATTATAAATTAATAATTTACAATATAATATTTCTACAACGAAAAGTACAGGAGAATTTGAAAAAAAATTGTATTTAAATTCAATTTAAGGGACTAGTAAATTAATTGTTATTTTAATTTTTCAAAAAACATACACTCCATTATCAATAATTTTAAAAGGTATAGTTAAGATATAGAAATTCATTATTTTAAAGCTATTATTTAAAAAAGCAATAAACTTATTTTATGTATCAATTTAATTTATCACTAAAAATTGTTTAGAATTTTGAGATTTTACTCCAAGCTTTTTGATAAAACAAAAAAAAAGTTAATTAAAAACCCAAAAAAAATAATTTGTTCAATAAATATCTAGATTGTTATTATTACCTTCCTAAAATTTCTAATAATTCGCCAACTCCATTAAAATGTTCAGTTTCATAGATAAATCTACACAAAATCAAATCATTAAATAAAATAATTTACATTATTATGACATATAATTAAAAAAATTATTTTTAGATAAAAATTTTTATGTAAAAAATGATAAATTGTACCTTAAAAATATATTATTGATTTGTTTACGTATAAATGCACGTAATCCCAAAAATTTGCCATATATGCGATGCAACACAGTCTTGAGAAAGTCTCTCTCACGTGGGTCTTCAGTATCAAAGAGTTCAAGAAGCTATTCGTTAAAATATTATTTTAAATAAAATTTTTTCTTAAATTTTAGTAATCAATGCTTAAAATTTAAAAAAAATACTAACCTGTAATACAAATTTTTGATCGATCACTTTCTTGCCTATAGCAGGTTGAAAATCTGGAGACTCCAAAAAACGTAGAAACAGTTCATAGACAAGCTAAAATTTTTGAAATTTTATTCAATTAGTTTAAATTTATATAACACATGATTGTTAAAAAATTTACTGTGAGGTGTGGCCATGATGCCTCAAGTGTTGGATCGTCCTCTTCAGGATCAAAGTCAGGGTTGTCACTAGGAGGCAATGTTCTAAATAGGTTTGAAGAGATCTAAAATATAAATTAAATTATTTATTAGATAAAATAAAATAAAATAAATAGTAAAACATTTATTGATATTAATCACAATAGAAGTAAACAAAAACTTTGTCTACTAAATAAAATGAAATTATTTAAATATATTATTAATTTTAAATAATGTTATCTAATTATAAAATGAATTAATTTATTAGAGATAAACTATTCATTTATCAATAATAAATATTAAATTTTTCAATTAGATATTTTTAATAAATAAAAATATATAAATGAGTCCAAAATTAAATTAAATTAAAAAAAAACAGTGGTCAATAATTATGCAAGATATTGATGTTAAAATGTTTGAATAACATTCAAAATATTTAACTTAAAAAAAAAATAAATGGATAGTAGCGATACAAAATGCTTTATATTATCTTAAATTGAAGAAATCTCCTTTATTACAAATTTATTTATTTATTCAACGGGATCGATCCTTATTATACAAAAATATATTTACAGAAAATGTACCAAAAACAAAACAAACAAAAGAAAAATAGTAATATAAAAATAATTAACATTAAGAAAAAACAAACATTTAAACAAAAGTATATAAAATAAATGTTTAATTGAAATTGAAAGAGGGGGCTCCATTGGCATTTTTCATTAAACGTTTAATTGGCTCATTATAAATATAATTAGAAGAATCGATAGGTATGAAGAAGGGAGCGTGATTTCTGGATTTTCTCTGGGGAACTTTAAAATTAATTAGCGCTAAAAGAAATGAAGAGTCAACTTTACCATCAAGCAAATTTTTTAAGAATTTAGTACCTAGGGCCTTTTGGCGATCAGCAAATTAGGGAAGATTAAGATATTCGGCAATAGGTGAGTATTCATTTTGGAGATGAAGAATATCTAATACAAAACCAGCAAACCACAAAAACCTATGTTGTACTTTTTCAACCAAACAAGCGTTGTTGGCTGTATGTGGATTCCAGATATGGGCAACATACTCTAAAATAGGACAAACTAATGCGCAAAATAATGTTTTTATTACTAATTTAAGTTTAAAGTCAAAAGCTATCCTCATTTTAAAACCGAGAACCTTAAGCGCCTTATTACAAATCATATCAATTTGAGGTCGAGGATCTAAAGAAGCATTAAATTTAATGCCAAGATCTATAACAGTATCATAAACACGAGTAAGGTTAGAATCACCGATAAAATAATAATGTATTAAGGGAGATTTAAAGCGAGTGAAAGACATAACTTGACATTTAGAAATATTTAGCGACAAGCTCAGCGCCTCAAACCAAGTTGTAAACTGGTTTAAGTCATGCTGAAGCTTAATACAATCTTCCTGCGTATTAATTTGCAAAAAAAGCTTCTTGTCATCCGCAAAACAAAGTAACTTGCAGTTGAGAAGAGTACGACTAACTCCATTTATAAAAGGGGAGACAGACACAAATATTTACATGTCGTTTTAATTTAATTTTTAGGAAAGCCTAATACTTTTTTTCACATTTGTAATTATTATCAACGATTGAAAATACAGTACTATCAATAATTAAATTATTTTGACTACCACTAAATAAAACATACCATTTTTATGATTTCTGGATACATATTTTCTGTCAAAACCCCTCTAGATGTTGAAACATAATCAACCAATTCGTTGAGTGTATCACGCTTAATTTCTTTGCCTTTCAATTCAGCCATGGGATCCATGAAATCAAATGGTACTGAACACTGTCTAAGTTTCCTTATCATCAACTCTTCCTGTTCCTGAGCTGTTACATCTGTTTATAAAATTTAAATTAAATTATTACTTTATAATTATATATATATATAACTTAATATAAGTATAGAAACATTTACAAGTTATATATGGTGGTAATACCTAAAAAATTTTATTTTTTAAGATTCATTTATATGAAATTTTAATTTAGTCAATTATTTGTAAAAAATAATAGATACAATACATGCATAACATTATAGAAAATGTATGATAAATGTTTTAAGTTAGCAATTAATTTAACAAATATAAAACAAAAGGAGATTATAAATATTTCTATTAACTACCTTTTATCAATATCCTGTTTCAAAAAAAAATATGAATTTTTTAAACTAAGCTTACAGATAATAATGAAAGTAATATCTCACACTTTTATAGGAAATGCACCATTTTGGGACAGTTTCAATAAAACTAAAGTAACCAAGAGTGTTAATTAGGGAAGGGTTCTATCTTCCTTGTTATGGTGTATAGTTTTAGACTAACTTATCAAAAAGTTAAACAAATATTGTTATGCACAAGTCTATGTAGATGACTTAGCTATAATAGGGATGAATAAATTAGTAGACACAATTATAGACTTGGAATAGCAAGATTGAACACTATTAATATGTGATATAATATGTATAGCCTAGCTATTAATCCAGAGGTAATAATGTTTTATTGAGGCAAGAGTCAAATAAGCCATGGCTATTTTGTGGACATGCAACAGAAATCTGGCAAAGACCTGTCTTAAACCAAGAGTTATGTATCAGTTATACACTTCAATCTATGATTCTGTATGATACCTTGGTCTGGTGGACCAAGATTTATATCACATTACGTGTGAATGTAACATTCTGGCCACATTAAGATCTAAATATTTGGGTAAATCTTTCCCCCCCCAAAAAAAATATCAAAAATCTAAAACCCTAAGAGATACTTAATTTTTTGTTACAGAGATAACTCTTTGTATATATATATATATATATAGGTGGTCCCTAGTAGGATGAGCTGTATAGTCATAGATATTCATCAATGGCAACAACACTTTGGTGGAAATACCTATATAAAGAAACCAAATTAATATAATTTGCTAGATGTGCACAATAAATCTATAAGTCAAAATACATGCACAGTTCTTGCCAACCTCTACATCAACTAAAATTAAAACTAACTTACATTGTATATATGTTAAAATATATAATTTTTAATGTTCATATTTATATTTTAAAAATATAATAGATATTAATTTAAATTTTTAGTACATCAAATTTATTTATCCTTTTAAGTAATTAAGAGTTGACTGTTTAGTATTTATACTAAAAGTAATATATTTTAAAATTAGTTATTGACAAAAAAATATTATAAAGCATTATTATTACAAATTTCCCAACACATATAATATTTTTAAAAAGGATTTTAAACAAATGACAAAAAAAAAATATATATATTCTTTTTTTATATTATAGTTGATACTTTATAAGATTATCAAGAAAAATATTGATAGTAAAACATTCCTATTATAGCAAATTTTCAGTATCAAAAATTTTTTTTTATGTCACATATCAAATTGGTTATAAACAATAGTCATGACATCACTAATATTGAATTATATTTGTAGGAAATATTTTAACAATGATATTTCACTTCATTTTATTTATATGAATGTTATTTTTAAAAGAAAATTTTATTTTATTTATATTATTATTGTAAATGTATTTTTAACAATTACTTTGATTTAAAAACAAAGCATCTTTTAATAATTGTTTAAGAATAAGAATTTCTATTTATCATAATAATTCATTTTCAATGTTCAAATAACTCTCATTTTGAAAATTTAATATTAATATAATAAAATAAAAAATTGATGATAATTTACAAGAAAAAAATATCATATTTTGGAAATAAAGAAATCAAGTCATATTAAGGTAAATCATTCAAATGAATTAAAATTATTATACAAAAAAAGTCTAATAAACAATATATTTATTTATAATGTTATGTATTTTTGTATACAACAATTCACATGAATCACTTATTAAAATATGGGCCCAAATCGCTACTTTTTTTTTGAAATTTTAAGTTAAAAAATAACTAATAATTTTAGCTGAGGTGTTAATTTTACTATGGGTTTTTATTTTTATGTCTGTCACCATTTTTTTTAGTTTTTTATTGGACCAATTTCTTTCAACAATATACCGAATGAACATAAATTGTATCTAGTTGAGACATTGCCTTTAAAAATTGAAAAAATTTTCCTCGTTCCCTGTAAATGGAGGAAATCATCCAGACAATTACAATTTTAAGAGTCAATAATTTTTGATATTTTTTTCTTAAAACTTCCATAACTTTTTCAAAAATAAACAAATCAAAATAATTTTTTTTTACATAAAAAAAACCCACTAATAATCACTGTCAGGTATCATCTATACTTGACCCAACTCTGCCACCTTCACACTATACCATGACCCCACTGTGCTACCATTTTTTTTTTTTGAAAATGTGTAGAAATCTGAGTCTTAAATGCATACAAGAATTTATCCATAAATAATATAGTATATATAATTATTTAAAGGAATTGATAAAAGTAAGTAATTGACATTATGTTTAACAAAAAAAACAGTTTTCATCACTGAAATATTGTGATAATTACTATAAAGTATTACAATTCTCACAAAATAAATATTATTTTTAATAAATGTGCATTTAGCTTTGCCTACCCTTATCAGTCCACTACCATGTATTAATATTAAGACATTTAAATATTTCAAGAAAAATGTTTTTTATAAATGTAGTACAAGTTGTATTGCAGTACTTAAAAAGGAATGTAAATAATAGTACCCTTATATTTTTCAAAAAATAATGATTAAAAAATGAAAAATTTTTTTTATATATATAGTGTTAGCTTTAATACATATTTCTTACCCTTTAATAATGGCAAAGGTTGTAATTCAACATCTGAACAAGTACGATATCTAGATGATGATGATGAACCTTGTGAACGTTTATTCTTGCGCTTTAAAACAGCTATTTTGGTAAACGGATCTATGCGATCAACAAATGTTGTTGCAGCTCCAGCAGATGCTGCAGTAGTTGTTCCTCCACTTCCACCACTAGTACCACCAGTAGCACTAGCAGCAGTAGCCGCTGAATTGGACATGCTCTATTTAAGCACACAAGAGAGCACAAGTCTTTTAATTAACTTTGATGGTTATTTTTTAAAAACTACTTTAAAATAAAAATTAAGCAAATAAAAACAGAACTTTTAAGATAAATCTAGTAGACAAAATTTCATGTTGTTTATAGATTTAATTAAAGAAATTATAATATTCAGCTGCAACTGGACAGCAATTAGAAAACAGTCGATTAGGATTAGTATTGACAGTTAATACAACAAAAGTGTATCCAGGAGGTTTTAAACCGTCAATCGAATGATGTTTATGATACTGTGGCAATTCAAAAAATGTGACGAAATTAATGTACATTGTCCGTTAGAAAAGCACCAGTTAAAAGATTATTATTTCATACAATTTATGAAATTAATAATTAAAAATTAATAGTTGAAAAATATTTTTTAGCTAGAAAATATTTTAATTGGGCACTGAGTGTTTCTGTATCAGTCACAATTATAATATATCATTATCATCATCATCATTATTATCATAGTAGTCCTGATTAATAACCAATATCTGGAAAAAAAATCAAAAAAATAAAATTATAAAATTATTGATACTATTATTCATGGGTTATTGTTTTAAAAAAATTGTAATAGGTTAAATATGTCAAAAAACAATTTGATTTTGTGAACCCTAACCAAATAATAAAACAATTACTAATGTTGGGATACTAAGATACAAGATATCCTCATCTGTGCTAACTCTTAAAAAAGACTTAAAGGTTTTTAAGGATTTCATTCAAACAATTTATGACTAGATTTTTATTTATATTAGTTTAATTTAAAACATTATATCATTAAAAAAACCGACTAGATGAGGATAAACATATTAAGAACAGACAATCATAAATTAATACTAATAATAAATTTGATTTATTTAGTTTAACTATTAAAAGTAATTAGTACAATCTACTACTACACATGTCAACTATATAATAATTATATAAAATTGGATATAAAAACTCAATTAGTAATTAATACTAGTTAAATTTTAATGTCCAATTTTTTCATTTCTACTGCTATGGCATAACATAAATTTTACAACCAAACTCAACCAGCCATTGTATTTTTGTTTTAAAAGAATAAAATACTAAAAACCGACATAATTTGAGTAAAAATTAAAAATTATAATAATTTGTCACTAAGAATGAATTTTTTTTTATTTAATATACAAAAAATGCTAGTCATAACTTTAATTAGATAAATCATTAGTAAAAAAAATTAGGAGGGAGACAAATCCAAATTATCTACAAATCTAAAAATTAATTATTTTTAAGTCATGGCCCAGCATTATAAATAGGAAGGGACACGTGTAAACTTTCACTCAAAAGTGTTGTGAAAAGGCAAGGCCTCTTCTTCTTATCTGTTATATACTTGTTACAAAAAATTAAAACTAAAATATAATTTTCTACAACAGATACTTTTTTTAAATTAAAAAATGCAGAGACAACAAATGACTACTTATTCTGGTCCTAATAACACTTTTGACGAGATAAATTTCTAACCAACTAATAACAATCAAAACTGTTATCACTTAGCCATGTTTAAACTTTCAATAATTAAAAGTAATCAAATTTTTGCACATATTTTACTTTTTAACATTGAAATTAAATAGAAATGGAAAATGTTTCTATAGACATTTACAAAATGAAAACATTTAAGCCAAGTTAATACTAGGTCAATTGTAAAACTTAATGGCTATATTAAGTTTCATTTTAACTTAAGGTTAAATTTTCAACTCATATAACAGCCTATCATTGAACTAAGTAAATCTATGATAAGTGAGTAAAATAAAAACATGTTAAGGAAAAAAATTTCATTCGTGTATAAAAATTAATTTATTTCTAAATTAAAATTTCAATACCTATTAGGCATTACTTATGAACAGTATCGCAAAAAACACGTTCGTCACTAAGACGCGCGCGCACACACATAAAAACTAAGACAGCCGGATATCAAGGCTCGCACCTAAGTATACTTAGTATAACTGCAGTATTTTACGGANATAGAAACATTTACAAGTTATATATGGTGGTAATACCTAAAAAATTTTATTTTTTAAGATTCATTTATATGAAATTTTAATTTAGTCAATTATTTGTAAAAAATAATAGATACAATACATGCATAACATTATAGAAAATGTATGATAAATGTTTTAAGTTAGCAATTAATTTAACAAATATAAAACAAAAGGAGATTATAAATATTTCTATTAACTACCTTTTATCAATATCCTGCTTCAAAAAAAAATATGAATTTTTTAAACTAAGCTTACAGATAATAATGAAAGTAATATCTCACACTTTTATAGGAAATTCACCATTTTGGGACAGTTTCAATAAAACTAAAGTAACCAAGAGTGTTAATTAGGGAAGGGTTCTATCTTCCTTGTTATGGTGTATAGTTTTAGACTAACTTATCAAAAAGTTAAACAAATATTGTTATGCACAAGTCTATGTAGATGACTTAGCTATAATAGGGATGAATAAATTAGTAGACACAATTATAGACTTGGAATAGCAAGATTGAACACTATTAATATGTGATATAATATGTATAGCCTAGCTATTAATCCAGAGGTAATAATGTTTTATTGAGGCAAGAGTCAAATAAGCCATGGCTATTTTGTGGACATGCAGCAGAAATCTGGCAAAGACCTGTCTTAAACCAAGAGTTATGTATCATTTATACACTTCAATCTATGATTCTGTATGATACCTTGGTCTGGTGGACCAAGATTTATATCACATTACGTGTGAATGTAACATTCTGGCCACATTAAGATCTAAATATTTGGGTAAATCTTTCCCCCCCCAAAAAAAATATCAAAAATCTAAAACCCTAAGAGATACTTAATTTTTTGTTACAGAGATAACTCTTTGTATATATATATATATATATAGGTGGTCCCTAGTAGGATGAGCTGTATAGTCATAGATATTCATCAATGGCAACAACACTTTGGTGGAAATACCTATATAAAGAAACCAAATTAATATAATTTGCTAGATGTGCACAATAAATCTATAAGTCAAAATACATGCACAGTTCTTGCCAACCTCTACATCAACTAAAATTAAAACTAACTTACATTGTATATATGTTAAAATATATAATTTTTAATGTTCATATTTATATTTTAAAAATATAATAGATATTAATTTAAATTTTTAGTACATCAAATTTATTTATCCTTTTAAGTAATTAAGAGTTGACTGTTTAGTATTTATACTAAAAGTAATATATTTTAAAATTAGTTATTGACAAAAAAATATTATAAAGCATTATTATTACAAATTTCCCAACACATATAATATTTTTAAAAAGGATTTTAAACAAATGACAAAAAAAAAATATATATATTCTTTTTTTATATTATAGTTGATACTTTATAAGATTATCAAGAAAAATATTGATAGTAAAACATTCCTATTATAGCAAATTTTCAGTATCAAAAATTTTTTTTTATGTCACATATCAAATTGGTTATAAACAATAGTCATGACATCACTAATATTGAATTATATTTGTAGGAAATATTTTAACAATGATATTTCACTTCATTTTATTTATATGAATGTTATTTTTAAAAGAAAATTTTATTTTATTTATATTATTATTGTAAATGTATTTTTAACAATTACTTTGATTTAAAAACAAAGCATCTTTTAATAATTGTTTAAGAATAAGAATTTCTATTTATCATAATAATTCATTTTCAATGTTCAAATAACTCTCATTTTGAAAATTTAATATTAATATAATAAAATAAAAAATTGATGATAATTTACAAGAAAAAAATATCATATTTTGGAAATAAAGAAATCAAGTCATATTAAGGTAAATCATTCAAATTAATTAAAATTATTATACAAAAAAAGTCTAATAAACAATATATTTATTTATAATGTTATGTATTTTTGTATACAACAATTCACATGAATCACTTATTAAAATATGGGCCCAAATCGCTACTTTTTTTTTGAAATTTTAAGTTAAAAAATAACTAATAATTTTAGCTGAGGTGTTAATTTTACTATGGGTTTTTATTTTTATGTCTGTCACCATTTTTTTTAGTTTTTTATTGGACCAATTTCTTTCAACAATATACCGAATGAACATAAATTGTATCTAGTTGAGACATTGCCTTTAAAAATTGAAAAAATTTTCCTCGTTCCCTGTAAATGGAGGAAATCATCCAGACAATTACAATTTTAAGAGTCAATAATTTTTGATATTTTTTTCTTAAAACTTCCATAACTTTTTCAAAAATAAACAAATCAAAATAATTTTTTTTTACATAAAAAAAACCCACTAATAATCACTGTCAGGTATCATCTATACTTGACCCAACTCTGCCACCTTCACACTATACCATGACCCCACTGTGCTACCATTTTTTTTTTTTGAAAATGTGTAGAAATCTGAGTCTTAAATGCATACAAGAATTTATCCATAAATAATATAGTATATATAATTATTTAAAGGAATTGATAAAAGTAAGTAATTGACATTATGTTTAACAAAAAAAACAGTTTTCATCACTGAAATATTGTGATAATTACTATAAAGTATTACAATTCTCACAAAATAAATATTATTTTTAATAAATGTGCATTTAGCTTTGCCTACCCTTATCAGTCCACTACCATGTATTAATATTAAGACATTTAAATATTTCAAGAAAAATGTTTTTTATAAATGTAGTACAAGTTGTATTGCAGTACTTAAAAAGGAATGTAAATAATAGTACCCTTATATTTTTCAAAAAATAATGATTAAAAAATGAAAAATTTTTTTTATATATATAGTGTTAGCTTTAATACATATTTCTTACCCTTTAATAATGGCAAAGGTTGTAATTCAACATCTGAACAAGTACGATATCTAGATGATGATGATGAACCTTGTGAACGTTTATTCTTGCGCTTTAAAACAGCTATTTTGGTAAACGGATCTATGCGATCAACAAATGTTGTTGCAGCTCCAGCAGATGCTGCAGTAGTTGTTCCTCCACTTCCACCACTAGTACCACCAGTAGCACTAGCAGCAGTAGCCGCTGAATTGGACATGCTCTATTTAAGCACACAAGAGAGCACAAGTCTTTTAATTAACTTTGATGGTTATTTTTTAAAAACTACTTTAAAATAAAAATTAAGCAAATAAAAACAGAACTTTTAAGATAAATCTAGTAGACAAAATTTCATGTTGTTTATAGATTTAATTAAAGAAATTATAATATTCAGCTGCAACTGGACAGCAATTAGAAAACAGTCGATTAGGATTAGTATTGACAGTTAATACAACAAAAGTGTATCCAGGAGGTTTTAAACCGTCAATTGAATGATGTTTATGATACTGTGGCAATTCAAAAAATGTGACGAAATTAATGTACATTGTCCGTTAGAAAAGCACCAGTTAAAAGATTATTATTTCATACAATTTATGAAATTAATAATTAAAAATTAATAGTTGAAAAATATTTTTTAGCTAGAAAATATTTTAATTGGGCACTGAGTGTTTCTGTATCAGTCACAATTATAATATATCATTATCATCATCATCATTATTATCATAGTAGTCCTGATTAATAACCAATATCTGGAAAAAAAATCAAAAAAATAAAATTATAAAATTATTGATACTATTATTCATGGGTTATTGTTTTAAAAAAATTGTAATAGGTTAAATATGTCAAAAAACAATTTGATTTTGTGAACCCTAACCAAATAATAAAACAATTACTAATGTTGGGATACTAAGATACAAGATATCCTCATCTGTGCTAACTCTTAAAAAAGACTTAAAGGTTTTTAAGGATTTCATTCAAACAATTTATGACTAGATTTTTATTTATATTAGTTTAATTTAAAACATTATATCATTAAAAAAACCGACTAGATGAGGATAAACATATTAAGAACAGACAATCATAAATTAATACTAATAATAAATTTGATTTATTTAGTTTAACTATTAAAAGTAATTAGTACAATCTACTACTACACATGTCAACTATATAATAATTATATAAAATTGGATATAAAAACTCAATTAGTAATTAATACTAGTTAAATTTTAATGTCCAATTTTTTCATTTCTACTGCTATGGCATAACATAAATTTTACAACCAAACTCAACCAGCCATTGTATTTTTGTTTTAAAAGAATAAAATACTAAAAACCGACATAATTTGAGTAAAAATTAAAAATTATAATAATTTGTCACTAAGAATGAATTTTTTTTTATTTAATATACAAAAAATGCTAGTCATAACTTTAATTAGATAAATCATTAGTAAAAAAAATTAGGAGGGAGACAAATCCAAATTATCTACAAATCTAAAAATTAATTATTTTTAAGTCATGGCCCAGCATTATAAATAGGAAGGGACACGTGTAAACTTTCACTCAAAAGTGTTGTGAAAAGGCAAGGCCTCTTCTTCTTATCTGTTATATACTTGTTACAAAAAATTAAAACTAAAATATAATTTTCTACAACAGATACTTTTTTTAAATTAAAAAATGCAGAGACAACAAATGACTACTTATTCTGGTCCTAATAACACTTTTGACGAGATAAATTTCTAACCAACTAATAACAATCAAAACTGTTATCACTTAGCCATGTTTAAACTTTCAATAATTAAAAGTAATCAAATTTTTGCACATATTTTACTTTTTAACATTGAAATTAAATAGAAATGGAAAATGTTTCTATAGACATTTACAAAATGAAAACATTTAAGCCAAGTTAATACTAGGTGAATTGTAAAACTTAATGGCTATATTAAGTTTCATTTTAACTTAAGGTTAAATTTTCAACTCATATAACAGCCTATCATTGAACTAAGTAAATCTATGATAAGTGAGTAAAATAAAAACATGTTAAGGAAAAAAATTTCATTCGTGTATAAAAATTAATTTATTTCTAAATTAAAATTTCAATACCTATTAGGCATTACTTATGAACAGTATCGCAAAAAACACGTTCGTCACTAAGACGCGCGCGCACACACATAAAAACTAAGACAGCCGGATATCAAGGCTCGCACCTAAGTATACTTAGTATAACTGCAGTATTTTACGGATAACTATCAACAAACATAACTAATTAAAATTTGCTAAGATCAATACTGTAATAAATGCTCACCTTTGAACAACGAAGTCCACCTATGCTGCATAGGTACTGCTAAACGTAAGAAATTTATCAACGACCTAACTAGGGCGGCGTTGAATCAATTGCAAAATTAATAATTAATTATGAAGAGTACTTTAACACTGCACACCGATTACTCGATTAATTGATCAACGGCAAATGATAATGTGTTAAGGGAAAATTTCAAATCCACAACTTCGATGTGTATTGCCCCAGTGTGATATCACATAGGTGTTACGACGATACACACGCACACGCACATACATGTACCGCCAAGTGTATTATATTCCTTAGGAAAACGATGAGCGGGAGGGCGGACAACGGCAGCCAGCGAGCGACCGACCGACCGTCAACCGACGGACTTGACTTGTGTGCAAAAACGGCGGCCGAGGCACAGACGCACACCGCGAATGTCACTAACGCAAACGGTAAACACGTTGCAAAAAGTACACGATCCTGTATAAATGCACAAATAGGTGTATTTGTTTCCTAAGGATACTCTCTTCTTGAAAGAGAATGTTGCGGCGGTTGAACGATTCAGCCTGTACGCCGAAAATTCACAAAACGACGCGAGTACACGGACCTAAGATTACAATATCACCGTAGCGAAAAACGAAAAATTGTATGTAATCGCGTATGATGCTATCGGTGGTGGCGGCGGTGCTCTCTAATCACAAGCGCACACACACACTCGCACCCAATACACAGACACAAATTATAACACATACAACGCACACACAAGCAAAATTCACCGATGCGGTGGAGGTGCAGCGGTGGAAGTAGTTACGACTTACGGCAGCGGTGGACCGACGGTCGCGGTGGAGGTTGTAAATGGTGACGGTGGTGGCGGCGGCGGCGCTGCATACCGGCCTCGCGACCCCACAACGGTCACACGTTACGAACAACCCGCCGCCGTCCGCGAGCCTCAGCCTGCAGAGTATGCGAGATAACATTAACGATTTTGATAGTAAAAATGATATGATATCGACTAACCTCATTATGATTACTGAATTTTCACTTTGTATTAATGTATTGACACATGTAATGTAATATTAATAGAATAATTCATATTCGTTATACAAATGTTTTATTTGAACTCTATAATATCTTCATCGTTTTTCATAAACAATTTGTGATTAATAAAAATGTGTGTGATTATCGGTGATGATCGACTACACTGGTAGTTATATTCTTAGTTTTAATTTGTCGTCTCAAATTACCCTTACTATTTTAAGTACAGCTATTTTCACTTTAGAAATTAAATCAAAAACAATCGAAAATTAATTGGTATAGTCTCATTTTTCCATTTAACTTGGAAAATACTTTATTTATCTATTCAATAATTTTCTATTTACTTATAAAAAAAACAAGAAATTTAAAATAAATCAATTGTCAATAACTAATGGGTACATGTATGTTAATAATATAATGTCATGTGAATAAGCGAATAAGGTTTGTTAATAACAAATAAAATACAAATTTTAAACTACTAACGAAAATGATGAGTTTGGTTCATTGTCTTAAAATAAAGCTTTATTTAAATATTCACAACACTATTAAAAAAACATTTTTACCTACTGATTATCCTTTAATTTATTTTAAATATGAAGACATAATTTTATTCCAATGTTGGGGAATGTTATACAGTTTATTATCTTTAAAGCTGGTAGTAAACAATTTTATTTGTAATTGTAATATTTGATTTAATTGTAATTTCCTGATCTATTGTTATTAGATTATCAAGTAAATGTTTATAAACATTTTTGAAAATTGTTATACTATTAACTTTTTATTCGATTTAAAAAAATCATGTATTACTTTATTGTAGTTTGATTAATCTTTTGGGTTATGGCTGATAGTCGTGGACGTACTCCCTTAGTAATGTTAAAGGAGAAAAAGTTTTTCTATAAGTCAGTTTGAACTTGAAGGTTTTATTTTTTTATAAAACTGCTAGAGATACAACTAAGTTGTATCATCAATATGTTAAGAAAAAATAAAAAAGGTATTAACACCTATTTCATTGAGTTCCATTTAAAATTTTCTCAAAATTTAGTTGATATTTCTCATTATTATATGAATATTTTCTTAAAAGTAAATTTCCTAATATGTTAATTTTTTCTTGTGAAATAGTACTAAATAATTGTTATAATGTTAAAGAAAATCATATTGCTATTTTTTTTATAAACAAAACACAAAAATTCAAATTTTTACTACGAAATCTTCATATAAATACTAAAATAGAACACCTTGATGGCTAATTATTTTTAACTAAGCTAGTTGCATATAACTACTTAAATTTACAGGAAAAATTAATAGTAATACAGTTTTTGAACATAAAGCAAATTCTATAATCATATATTTGGTTGAAAAAAAAATTTAAGTATTTGATGATTTTGCATTATTATTTTCATATTTCATAAAATATCTAGTTAAAAAGAAAAAGTACTTAAAAGCCTATTATTCATAAGAGTTAATAAAGTTGTTATAGACTACTCATTTTCTTAAGTAAATTATTATCAATTAAATTAACTTGTTAGCTATGTATGTTACCATTTGAAAAATTAAATTGAACACCATTATTAATATTTTATAAGAGTAATAAATTACAACTCTTATTTTTCGATTAATTTAGAGGTTCATGAAAAATGAATATATATATTAGGGTGATTGATTAACTATACTTCACAAATTATCTCTGAAAATATAATAGTTATATTTTTTTTTTTATTAAATATTATGTTTCTCTCTTAGGCTGCTCAGAAAGTAAAATTACATTTTTCTGATCTTCACTAATACTTTAAATCAGTATCAATTTTCAAATAATAACCCTATATTTAGCTTCGATGCGAAGCTGAGAAGATATTAATTTTTCTATGATGCGTTTTCTTTTTTTTTGTCTGTTGCTATTTTTTCTCAACTCCAAACTGATATCTTTCAACGATACGTCAAAAGATCACAAATTGTATCTAGTAAAAGACATAACCATCATAAATTAAAAAAATTACAAATTTAAAATTCGCTAATTTTTGACATTTTTTGAATTTTTTTTACTTAAAACTTTAATATATTTAAAAAACTTAACTTTTTTAAAAATGACTAAATCAATATAATTTTTTTTATAGATACATGAAATTATTACCTATTATTTTGTATACTTTTTTTATAAATTTGACCTGTCCATAAGGAGGGATTAAAAATGAGTTTTTCAATTTAACTTTTGAAAGTGTTTGGAAATACTGAAACTTTTTTATTTATTTTAAATTAAAGCTTATGTAATATACTTTATTATGGAAAAAAAAAATTTCGAACTTCATTTTGTCTTCATGGTGATAATGGCTACCGTATGCTATATTTGTGTTAAAATTTTTTATTGATAATTAAATTTTTTTATTATGTAATTTTTTTTTAGGGCTCTCATTTATTTTCTCAGCTCACACTTTACCAAATTTTTTAAACGATACATCAAATGATCACAACTATTATCTAAAGATATTGCCCTAAAAATATGAAAAAATTTCCATTTCATCAATGTAAAATTTACTTAGCTCACATTCTCCATATAGACTATTAAAATCATTCGCTTTTAATTTTTTTAAAGTATTTATTGGGTTTTTCGTTTTGAATTAGGTTTGATATGATAATAGGTTTCAACTACAAAATTAAATAATTTTACTTTATAATATATTAATTTTTTAACTTTATTTGTGTGCTACTAACAGTCTATAATATTGAAAATTTTTTGGTAACATGTTACTTAATAAATTATTAATCTAAAAAAAAATAATTTTTATTTTCACCTGAATTTAATAATCAAATTTTATAATACACTAAATTGAGTATACTTTTTTAACAACATTTTGATTGGTTTTTTTGTTAAAGTTAATCATTAAAATTAATTATAATCTGAATAATTCAATTGTAGAATATTTTGAATCACCAAAAATTACTTAGAAATGATAACTATGATTTCTATTTAAGTGATCTATTACAATAAAAATGCAATAAAAAAATATTGAGCCATTCTGATAAATTTACAGTAAATACTAATTATACAATTTCCTGACTATATTTAATTTAAAAATGCTATTTTTTATTCTCATAAAATTTTCTATTTAATAATGTAAATCTCAAACTTGAAGTTGAGCTAAAAGTTATGGTGACAAATTCAACTTTTCTTATTATAAACTTTCAAAAAATCAACTTTAAAGTACCAAAATCAAAATATTTAATAATTAAAAAACAATTTTTTTGTTTATTTAATTATTTTTTATCGCAATAAATCATTTCAAAAAAATTGTGTAACGACCCGACTGTGCTGGGTTTTTTTTTATTTTATTCAATTATCAGTGAGCTATGATTCATTAAAGTTTACAGGATGTGAGTATTACTCACGTCAGATAGGAGCAAGCGTACCTAAGTATTTCCCATAGCGGTACAATACACTGGTAGTTTTTATCGGTACACTAAATACAAATATTACTGTATTTACCCGACTACTGTTTTATTTGTTTAATCCCTTAAACTTTAAATAGTGATATCTCGTTTAGAATTTATTAAATTTGATTTTTTTTTTTGTGCTAAACAAGATTAATAAAAAATGTATTATCTTAGCCGCTATCTTAACTGTCACCATAAGAATATTACTCTACAGAATAATTATTGCTCCTTGTAAAAGTTATTTTATGTGTAAAACCTTTAGTACCATTCTAAAGAGTGGTCACTGGAAGGTAAACTCGGTAGGTTAAAAAATAAAAACTAAAAAAAATATTGTTGACTCTAAATAAGCTAAAGTCATTGCTTTTAGATGATTAGCAAACAATTTACAGACATAATATGTTTGAATTAATACGATATTAATACTTATAAGCTAATACGTCTAAACATATTGTCCACAAAATATATATATTTGCAGTAAATATATAATTTTAAAACATGATAAGATGTCCCAAAATGTTTAAGTTTAAGTACTGTAGCTCTTATCAAAAAATAAAAACACATTTTAAATTAAAATTAATAAATGTAATAGTCTTCTTCTTTTTTCTCTCCTTAATCCCAACTACTTGGGGTCGGCCACCCTTATCCTAAACTTCCACTTGACATGATCATCCACATCATCTACGCTCACAACAGCTGTCCTCATATCGCATTCAATTAAGTCTCTCCATCTCTTTTTTGGTCTTCCTCTACCTATTCTTCGTTCAACATTCATTTCTATAACTGTTCTTACAGCTTCCGATTCTTCTCTCCTCATAGCATGACCAAACCATATAAGTCTATTTTCTCTCATCTTATCCATAATTGACGCTACACCAATACTCCTTTTTGTATGCTCGTTCCTTATCATATCTTCTCTAGTCTCTCCACTCATCCATCTAAGCATTCTCATCTCTGAACCATACATCATAGCTGGCCTCACTACAGTTTTGTAGAATTTACCTTTCAGCCTCATTGGAATTCTTTTATCTTATATTTTTAGTAATAATTCACTTTATATATGTAATAGTAGTTACTATAAAATTGACTACTATATAAAGAAAATAATCTATTGGCCCACTGTATAAATACATATTAATACATGTAATATTTTTATAAAAATAAGTATCATGATAAATGTGATAATTATTAAAAAAAATTTTAATTTCAAACCCAAGACTTGCGTTCTTAAAATTTTTTTGCTATTTCGCAGGCATGTTTTAATAATTTTTTGTGTCGTAATTAATCTATTAGAGTCCAATTTTTTAAAAAATTTTACTCATTTTTTTAAAGACAAAGCTTTGGTATAGAGGCTCTTCGGTATTTTTCCAATAATCGAATAAGTTAGCACGTGCCTATATTTACACGTTTTATGTGATCACATTTATTGTTGTTATTGAATATTTAAAATTAACAATAAAAGTTCTTGATAGTACTTATAATTTAAAACAACTCTCATTTACATAGTATATGATTAAAAATTTTTATGCATAATAAGCTTGACATAATAGTTTTTTTATTTTGGCTACAACTGTACAGAGTGATTGACTAACTATACCTCATGAATTTTCTTTAAAAATATTAGTGTTATCATATATGTAATTATTTTATTTGTTATAAATATATGTTGAGCTAATTGACAAGAAAAATAAAGATTCCATTTTCATTCCTTAACCCTCAAGTCATTATCAACTTTAGTTTTTTAAATATCAACCCAGTTTTTTATTAATCTTGTTTAGCACAAAAAAAAAAAAAATTTCTTGAAAATAAAAATCAATTTTAATAAATTCTAAACGAGATATCACTATTTAAATTTTAGGGGATTTAAAAATAAAGCAGTAGTCAGGTAAATACAGTAATATTTATATTTAGTGTACAGATAAGAACTATCGGCGTATTGTACCTATGCACTTTATACATCAGATCACCGTATTACTATGAACCGTTAACAATTATCGGTTTACTACGATCCGTAAAATTTGCGCGTCTTTTATAAAATAAAACTAAAGTAATACTCACGTCCCCTAAACTTCAATGAATCATAGCTCGTTGATAATTGAATAAAAAAAAAAAATTTTAAACTAAATCAAATCAAATTATATAAAAAAAAAATAGGTTGAAAGTTGATACTGATTTAAAGCATAAGGGATGATCATAAAAATGTAATTTTACTCACTGAGCAGCCTAAGATAGAAACATAATATTTAATAAAAAAAAAAAACATAACTATTATATTTTCAGAGATAATTTGTGAAGCATATTTAATCAATTACTCTGTTATTCATTGTGATGAACAATAAACGTTTAGAATTAACGTATCTTTTTCTTCTTTACCTAGATTTAGAATATATCGCATAAAGAGACACCGTAATACATGTTATACACAGATGATGTTTTCAATGGTGAATTAAAGTGGGCTGAGATAGATTCCTCAGACTTTACTACAAGAAAATGTTGAAAATACTGGATTGATTATATTGATTGAAAGATTTTGCAATAAAGTAGAAATGAGGCCATCCCAATACAGGTTTTACATCCCTAGTAAAAATATTTTATAAGGTTGATACCAAAAATAAATTTAAAAAGTCTATGTGATTAAAAAAGGCAATCGGTAAAAATATACTTTTCCTTCACTTCTCTTATATTTTTAACTTCAAGGGTAATTGAGGAGGTTTTATTATTATATATCTGTCGCCTATTTTTCTCAACTCCACAGGACCTACTTTGCTCAACGTTATGTCAAAAAATCATAAATTATATTTAGCTGAAGAGATTACCCTCAACATTTCTTTCGTCTCCGTAATTGAAGGACGAGTAGCTCACTGTGCTACTATGCTACAGCACAGTGTGACGGTGATAATTGTACCTACGATCAAAAAGTATACGCGTCCGTACAGCCGACAAATTTAATTTAACTAAGTTCATATGATTTTATCTATTCTATGGAATAAAACCTCTACCTATGGGTCTAATTTGCAATATACTATCAACTACTGATGAATCAAATTCCTCAAAATATTTTCTTCTTAGTCGATTTAACTATCTTGATTTTTTTAGAAAAAGATGGCATATTATCAACATCTTACTTAATTCATAACCTAAAAAACTAACACAAACCACCTATGAATGAATTTTTCATGGAGTAAAAATAAAATAGTTATATTGTTAAGTACTATCACTATTGGTTAAACCATAATTGAAGAACGGGAACCTTCTAGTTGTATGAATGAATAAAAATAAGTACAATGAGATTGGCATAGACAATGTCTTTTCTACAAAATATGATTTCAGAAAAATTTTAAGTATATAGAAATATATGGGATAAAAATATATGTGACATTCAACATTTCAAAGTCAAAAGATGAATTTGTTATTAATTAAATAAGCATTTTATTTCAAAATCCTTTTTTTTTATTATCTTTATATTACTATTTATTTTGTGCTTTTTCATTATTTTTTTATACAAAAGGTCTTGCCTTGTCGTTGCCAGAAACTCTAAAGTCAATTGGTATTACTAGGGAAGGGGATAAGTGCAGTGGTTTCGCGTTGCCTTTTGTACTGGGGACATGGTGCTTTTTGCCACCGTAAAACATACGTATCACCCATCCGTACACTACGGTGGCAGGCGTGGCTTAACACTAGAGTTTTGTCAACATCTAGTGTGTCCACCGCCCCGTTCATATTTTTTACATTTATACTACCAAAATGAGATTAAAACGACACCAAAAAGCAGAACGTAATATTAATTTCTATTGTGTTAACTTTGGCTTTAGAAAACCTTTTCAAATACTAGTTGATGGTACTTTCTGTATGGTTTCAGCACAGGTGAATTACATTTTACTAAAAAGTAGTAATTTCAAAAATTCACAAAATTTCATGATACAAATTTTAATTTTATTTTTTAGAATAGAGTTCAACTACGAGAAGATTTACCCAAATATTTAAATGGCGAGGTTAAACTATTAACTACGCAATGTGTTATAATTGAAACAGAAACTCTAGGTAAATAATATGTTAATAAAAAGTGTTTGCAAATGAAGATATTTTAAATAATACATTAATCTAACTAATATATTGATATTTTTAGGTCCTACTGTTAGGCCAGCAATGCACATAGTAAAATCTTTTGGTATACATAAATGTGGACATAATAAAAAGCCTATTTCTGGAGCCAATTGTATAATTTCAATGACGAAAGACAATGTAAACACTAGGTAAGTATCATTACTTACCATTAATGATAAGAATCATTCATTAAATTCTTTAATTAATAGTGGCGCCAATTACCTACATAAACTATGACATACGTCATAATACATATAATGGTTAGATGGGTTTTGAGGTATATTAATTATTTATTAATATTAATGATTATCAAAATTATGAATTGTTGGTTGTTTTAATCAAGAATTGAAAATATTATTTTTCAAGAATCAAATTATATTTAATAATTCCAACAATTTTGAATTATAATAGATTTTTTTTTAATGGACAGATTGCTCAAGTGGTTTTAAAACATTCACGTAAAAAAAAAAAATTTATTAAATTATTTTTTAAATTAAATTATAGCTTATGAGCAATATTTTTTTTTTATTCCAAAACCCATAAAAGTATGAAACTTATGTCAATCAAAATTTAATTTCATGAACTTTAAAGTGGGTAAACAAAAATTTGCCCAAACGTCAAATTATCCATGCACTAGTTTTTAATTCAACAAAATGTCATCAATTTCCTGTAAAATTCAATTTTTTTCAATTAAAAGTTATTTCATACATATTCATTTGTACTATAAAAATAATATAATGTATAACATAGCACGTTAATTACTTTTTATAATATTATGTATGTTTTAGTATAGTAAATTCTAAATGTTTTAACTAGATATTTATTCAAATATATCAAAAAGTGATGCATATTACATATATTTTTTAATGTTTAAGTTATTACTTATTAATGTAAAGCATATTCTGTTTTAATTTTCATTCATTGTATAAATAAAAAATGAAAGATGATTTTTAAGTCATTGGATACTCTTTTTGATACTCAATTACTGTTCCTGTTCTAGATCTTTATTGGTTGATTAAATTGAATACATAAAGTTAATATACTCTTCAATTGGTTTTCTATTTTTATCACATATATAATTACTAATTTATTTCCTACTTCTTTCTTAAAGTCTCTCAGAGTGTAGCCAAGTACAAAATAAAAACTTTAAGTCAATTATAGTATTTTGAAATTGTTGTACCAGTACAGTATTTATCATAAATAATTGGTTGAATTTCAAGCTCATGCATAACAATTTGACATTATGATAAAATCTTAATTACCTATTTTTAGTCAATGAAATTGAACATTGATAAACATAAGTTTCTTACTTATATGATGTTTTCACAGCTTTGAAGACAATTTGGAAAAAAAAATCAGAATTCCCATGTTATTTAATTAGCTAATTTTAAGTGCCTATAGGCATGGGTGAAAAGTGATGTTTGAAATTTTGGGAATAATTTTTTTAACATAATGAAAAAAAAACAAGGGTTTTCGAAAATTATCAAAATAAGAGACACCCTAATGTTAAGTCATGATAGCAAATTAATAAACATATAATTCCACCTTATTCGGTAAAGTATATTTTGTCAAATATGTTGTGATTAAATATAAAAACATGTATTGTACTATTTGTAGAATGAGTTTTTAATGTAGTAATATTTTGGATATTTTAATTAAAATTTTTATTATAAAATTTTATTATAATTGCATTATACATTTTTTTCCTAGGTTTGTAATATTAGACCTAAGAACTTTCATCATCATAATTAAATTATTCAATATTATTGTATCTAACCGTAAATTATTTGAATTTATTTATCTTTACATTTATAGGTATATAGTTGCTACTCAAGACAAATCACTACAAAATATTTTATATAATATTCCTGCTGTTCCAGTAATGTATTTCAATGGATTAAGTATTGTACTTAAATCTCCTTCACCTGAGTCTCTTAATTTAGCTAATCAAAGAAAGCAATCTCGGTATGAAATGTTCATAAGTTATTATTTTTACTAATTATGTATTATATCAATAAATACTAAGTAAAAGCCATTAATTTGGATTTTTTTAGATTTCAGTTGACAGATCATGAGAGTAAAGTGTTAACTCATATGAAAAGTTCATCAATCTCTGTTAAAATTCCTTCAAATGAAGATTCTACCAGTTATCCAGGAGTTTTTAAAAGAGCCAAAGGTCCAAATCCTTTATCATGTAAAAAAAAAAAAAAAAAATCAGTCGATGAAACTATTATACCAAAAGTAGGAAATTCTACTAAAAGAAAAAGGCACAGAGTCAAAATACCAAAACATGTTATAGAAGAATTAAGGAATAAGGCTTGTGATTCATAATTTACATGATAATTTTTCATTAATACCTATGTTAATTGATAACAATTTATGGTTTAAAAATTTTGATATTGTTATAAAAATGTCGCATTCTTATTTTAAATAATTCATGCAATTATTCTTTGTTTTGTTTATTACTATAGTTATTTTTACTATAACATTCAGGTAATATTTGTGAGTAATCTGTAGTGTTAAAGTTGAAGACTAGGCTTTTTAGTTGTTTTTTTAATCAAATCGATGAGTATTAAATATGATCAAATCATAATCCCTTCTCTGGTATAATCATTTCAAATTTTAATAAATAAATTTGATAAACCGTAATTGATAATCAAACATATCTAAATTTATGTCTAAATCAAATCATATAAAGTAGAGTCGATCTCAAATAGTTAGGGTAGACGCAAAGGAGATAATCATAGTGTGTGTTAGTGATGGGTCCGGTACTCGTGTAATAGGTCCAAAGTAACGAGTACATTGGTGGAACGAGTAGGACCGATTACACTTGGTCGTTTCACTATCGTTACGTCGGTACAAAATATAGTTGATCGCCAAATGATTATAGTAATGACCAAAGAGTACTTGAATAGTTCTTGTTCAGGATTGTGTATCTACGACCTACAGTAACTGTCTAATAGGCAAACTGTTGACTAGGCCGCCCTTTTCCTACAGTCATGGTAAACTAGCGCCATCTATTGGTTTTTTAATTATCTAAAAAAAAAACGTTAATAAACACCAATTTTAAAACTGCTAATGGTATCCATTCACATATTTTAAATTAGTGATGGGCATAATCGAATTATTAGTAATCGAGAGAATCGATCGAGTATACTTGTCTATGGAGAGAATCTCTGGAAATTTTACTCGAAATTAATATCGTTTATTCGTTTGATAAAAGTAATCGATTATTTTTAACGATTTTGAGTACGTTTCGATTACATTAAATACATTAATAATTTAATATTATATATATGCATAAAATGTTTTTTTTTAATCGTTTAATTATTATTTTCTTTAATTTTAACCAAGTACCTAATTTACCACTTTAAAGTACACCTATTTATGCATTTAAAATAAAATATTAATAATATTTTACAAGTTTATATACAATATACCATCAACCCGGCTCAAACGTTGATTTTACATTTAAACATCAAAATATAATTTATTGAAATATGAAATATCCTCCGAATGAAGATGCTTTAGAATAAATAAGATAAAAATAAATAATTCCATATAATGGAATTATTTTATTATTATGTGGAAGTTTCTGAAAACCCTTATTGTAAGATTATAAATAATATAATTTTTAAGTACTTATATTTTAAGTTGTGTTTTTGTAATATTTAATATCCTTTAATTAACATACTGTTAATTAACAATTTTATTATCAGTATTTTTTTTTTTAATGTTCCTAGATAACAACGTCGTTTACAGCTCGGTCTCATAATTTAAATATGAAATTTAATTAGAATAGTATTTCAGAATTATTAAAAAATAGACAAGTATCAATTTTTAAGATGATTCAAAATGAAATAAAAGAATCAATTCATAATTCGTCAACATACCCATATTAATTTAATATGGGTAATATAGGTATATTATTTAATATTATTAAATAGTAAGCCTATGAAAAAAAAAAATCATTTGATATAAATAGTAATACATATATTGTCTTATTTATAATCATAGTATTATAAACGTAGTATTTATTATAACCACCAAAAATTACATTCTGTATAGTACATTAAATAATCTATAATTTAATTTTGTTTTGAATGAGAATATAGATGTTGAGTTGTTATGCAAAATACTCTAAAATCGACAATTTTTACCGAAAATTGAATGATTTTTTACTTTAATGTCTGATATCTCCTAGAAATTAAGTTTTCGGATATTTACCATTTTAAAGTACATTAAACTTGCTTTGACTTTGTGTAAATTTAATGAAGTCAGGTTTTTTTGAGCATTATGAGATATTGAAAAAAAAAAAAAGGTTTGGTATTAGTTTCGTTTCAACAGTTTTTTATCAACATTTTGTTGTTGTTTTGATTTCTTCTATGAGCTGCTCCCTCGTGTTAACTATATTAGAAAGATCTTTTTATAACTCTTATCGCTTTTATAATTTTCAATTCTGACCTTTATTTTTTTTATAATAGTTTTTTTTTATAAATAGTTTTTGTTATATCTGTGTTGTGTGACGCTTAGGTACTCTCGTGTTTATTTTTAGTTTTCGATTAAAGTGATATACAAGTTTGCTATTTAATTATATTTTGTACGTACAATGGATAAAAAGTGTAGTATGGAACCACTTTTCGGTCATAAGTAAAGAAAAAGCTAAGTGTTCATACTGCACTAATACTTTTTTTTACAAGGGAGGTTCAACAGCCAATCTTTTTAATCATTTAAAAATATTTTCCGAAAATAAATGTCTTTTAAAATATTACTTGACGAATAAATGACATAGACGTATTCAGGGATTTAATATTGGTACTGTATCTACTACGTCCCGCGTAGATACGACTGTTTATATGATAAATAAATACTGGTGTGGTTTTGGTAACGGGTCTCAATGAAGGTACTCAATTACAAAAAAGTAAAAATAACGATGTACCGAGTACTTTGGAATCGTTACTCTTAAGTAACTGTACCGAAAGGAACGATTACACTAAAGGAACGAAAATTCCCACCACTCGTCTGTGTACATACTTTCTTAGTGTGACTAACAACTACAGTACCTATTCCAATAATTATTATCAGTCCTAGTTTTATTCTATAATACACAATGATTATACATATCATTGTATCATATCATATTTTAAATGATAATACATAATATATTATAGAATTTTATTGTTTCAGCTGATTTTAGTGAAATAGTTTTATTTTAAGAAAAATGAAACTATTTGAGTTTTTAGTTTATATGATGCACTAATTGACATAATATTGCTATCAAAATATGATTATGTATTGGTTTTTTACTTAAATTTTTTGAGCATTTTATTATTTTTTTAACCATAAAGAAAATAATAGTTTAGCTAACAATTTTTGTTCATTATGTCGGAAAAATTAACACAAACTGAACAAAACGATAATAATACTTGCTTGGATTCTGAATTTGATGATAAAAAATGTGTATTTTGTGAAATAATTGCTAAAAATGATCCAACTAAGATATTGGAGCCAAGGGTTAGCAGTATTATTAATATTACTTGTATTATCTGATGTTGAATTGTTTACAAGCAACTTTTTATGTAGTATATCACTAACAAAATAATTTCATCTCGAAATAATTGAATCAAATTTCAGTGAATTTGACTTCTTAAAGTCATTAAATTATCATTTAGTGTACAACCATTCATTATATTAGATGAGTTGCTTTAAAATAAAATGTATTTCACTAGTATTATTTATTTTGACAATTTTTTTCATGGTATTACTTTTATATATCAATTCTTTTAAGTATATTTTCATTTTAGGGGAACAAGTTTGTCATTGTTAAAGATATTCATCCAGTTGCTAATCATCATTTTCTAGTTATAAGCCGAGAACATATTCCTACAGTTAAAAGTCTTAAACCAATTCCAGAACACCGTGAACTATGTAAGAAAAATAAATTCAAATTATTTATATAAGGTAATTGATTAACAATGTCTCGCATAATATTGTTAAAAGCATATTATTATAACATTATAATTTTTTATTTTTAAAAGTTAATAATATCCTGTTCCATAATTAAAAAAAAAAAAATTGTCTTTTAGAAGTTGTTAACACACTATAATGACTGGAAATAAAGCGAAGGTCTATTTATTTTTATCTAGGCATTTATGAACCATAGTATTTCTCCCGTTCTAGTAAAAGTACTAATATCTTTTAAAATACTGTTTAAAAATGTTTGATTAATCATTTTTTTTAATAAGTACATTATCATATTTTAGTTAATTAAATGTATATGTTTCTATTATGAAAGCAAAAGTTGAAAAAATTTGAAGAGGGATAAAAATGGAAACGACCATATTTTTTTTTAAAATCATTGAATGTAAGACACTATTAAATTATTTTATATATTTAAAGATATAAATCATAATCAATCACCTTGTACATTACCAAATCTTTCAACATCTAAACATTAATATTCTCATTGAAATTTAGTGAATAGCATGTTTACAGCAGCAAAACAAGTGTTGGTAAATAACGGAGAAACTTCTTTATCAAATTCAAGGTAATAGAAAGTGAATATTTACTTTTAATAATTAAAATAAACAAATAATTTATTACAAAGTAATTTCATTATTTTATACTACTTAGATTCTAATAAGCTAAAGTTTTATAATTTAAATTATACATTTTTATAGATTTGGATTTCACTGGCCTCCTTTTTATACTGTTGGTCATTTACATTTGCATGCAATCAGTCCTGTAAATTCAATGGCTTGGTATTTTCGATACATAGGATTTAATCCTCATTGCTCCTTGATTTTTGTTGATGTAAGTAGCAATTATAAGAAGTAATTTAAGTTATTGTATTTATTTATACGTTTTAGATAAATTATGTACGTAAACGTATTGGGAGTATAGATGAAGAAATTGATAAAAATAGTAAATATTCGAAGAACAATGAAATATAATTCTTTTTTATATGTATATACTTTACGTTAATGTATAAACAAATTTAACAAGTAAAAAAATAAATGTAAAACATATTTTTTAGAAAAGAAAAATGAAAACTAATAACAAAATTGTAAATTTATTAGTAAATAAAATTATTTTTTAAAGTCGTTTATTATTTATGACAATTAATATGTATATATATATATATATGTATAACTTATCTACTTTTTAAATTATTTTATTAAACATTGATGTTTAAAGGAGATTGTATTTGTTAGTCACTACTATACCCTAACCTACAGTACATTTATAGTATAAGTTGTATTCTTGTATATTTGTAGACTGTTTTTGGTAATTAGATATTTAATTAGTAGTAAAACATTTTCTCAGTGAAATCAATTAGTGAAAAAAAAAAATGTGTTTCAAAACTATTAGAAAACAATAAAATAAAATACAAATGATAGATGAAAATATATTGTTTTTAATTTTACAAAAGTGACTAGAAAAACGAGCATTATTTATTTATATTAAAACATTGATAAAATAATACAATAGTGTGAAATAAGCTGAAAAAAATTAATAAATAAAATAAAGATGGTATTAGATGTAAACAAAATAAATTATTTTTGGAAATACACTAAATAATATGACTAATTTTTATTTTTTTTAATTACCCATGTTTGTTAAAATTTTCAATTAATTTGGAGACATAAACACAGATTAAAATTACTATTTATAAAACTGTTAAGTGTAATATACATATTTGTACACAACTACTTCAAAAATAATTTATTCAATCTTTCATATAAGTAAACTACATATGAAAGTTTAAATTTAATTTTGTTAATTTAGTCACAATATAATAAACATGAAGTAATAATTTCAACTAATAAAACATGAAACCAAATGACATATATAAATATGAGTTAGTTTTAGATTTTTAAAATTACAGTAATAGAATAGCTTTGGTTAAAACAAAAATAAAAATTTTGTATTATACAACAAAATAAAATTTTAAAAAACAAAAATATATTTAGCAGATAAAATATTTGAAGTTTAAAGAAATATTAGGGTAGTTCTTCAATAGTTTCTGATATAGATGATTGTGATTGTTGTACTTCTAACTCTAATTGACGTAACTTTTGAGAAGTTCTTCCTAAATTTGCAGCCAACTCTCTATTAGCATGAGCATAGTATTCCAATAAATCTAAAATACAGCGGCTATCTTTTTGCTCTAATAAATCTTGAGAACTAAACATAAATCACATATATATATATATATATATATTAATAATTTGATAAAGTATTCCATTTATATTATAAAAATAAAAATTTTACAATTCTTTAGAATTTATAAAAATAATATTAAAAAAAAATTTCTTTGTATTTTATTCAATGTACTAACAATGCATTAACAATAAATGGTTCATATTAGAGCCATTAAAGATTGATAATACATCTTTTTTTAAAAAATAAATAATTTTGTGTTTCTTTATATTATAATTTTTATTTGGCATAGTTGATATATTCAATTGTAACTGTATAATTGTGAAATATTCGACGTACATTTGTCCTTAAAACTCGATTCTACATTAAATAAATTTTGTTACACTTTAATAAAACTAACATTTCATTTGTCTTTAAAGTTATGCATCATACCTAAAGCATGGAAACACAGCTAGACACGTCTTTTTGGAAACATGGAGATAAAATCTTAAAAATTAATTATAAAACGGTTTTNCTAGACACGTCTTTTTGGAAACATGGAGATAAAATCTTAAAAATTAATTATAAAACGGTTTTTAAATTATATTTGTATTACAAAGAATTGAAGGTTGACACCATTTATACAGATTTACAAAGATAAATTAGACTATAAAATATTAATAGCCAAAATACACAAACTTAGTTTAAGAGATATTTTTCTTTCTTGACTATCTTCTTATCAATGGGATATAGTTCGAAAAATTTCAAACAATATTAAAGCAACACCAGGTGTTCCACAGAGTAGCCATTTATCTCCCTTACATTTTTTTTATATTTATAAATGATTTATTATATAGTTTCCAATCATTTATAAATTCCTCTTATTTTTCAACAATATGAAAATGTTTATGTAAACATAATCAAAATACGATGTAGCTCTCCAAAATGATTTAGATACATTTCAAAACTAGTGTAACTTAAATGGAATGTCTTTGAATTCAAATAAATGTGTTATTGTATCATTTTCTGATTCAAAAAACATAATAAAATCACACTATAATATAAATAATAGTATTACTTTAAAATCAGTTTATTCTATTAAATTAACTGAAGTTCTTACAAAGAATTGGTTTAATGATTCCAACATATAATTTAAGATATGATCTTCTTTTTTCTATGTCTTTTGCATCAAAAAACAGTTATTATTTAAATAATCGTGTGTGCCACCTTATTAATTAGCTTATGTAGCTTTCCAAACATTGATTTTTTCCATGAAAATTTAAAACATATATTACATAAAAATCTTGTATAAAAATGTTCTCAATATATTTTTTAGCGAATGTTTTAAATATGTTTTCAATCATTAATAGATTTTTATTGTAATATCATAATTGAATATCACATTTTTTTTCAGTGTAGTAATTACATATTATATTTTTTTTTTGTGGTCTAAATTTGAAAGTACTAAATGTAACATTTGTTTCTTTTTCCTTTTTTAGTTGTTTTATAATCACTGTATAAAATTGATATAAATTTAAAGATGTTGTTTTAATTAAATAAACTTAGATAAGTATTCCATATACTTATTTGAAGGTAGCCTACTTAACTCAGCTGGGAACGCATTGAGCCTCAGTGTGTAAATACTAACTTTTGATAATGTTGGGATGGGCTATACAAGCCCATCTCTACTTATAATTTTTTTAAATAATTAGACGTTATTAGGTAAAATTGAGATTTCTCAGATTTTTCTACTTCAACAAATAAAACAGCAGTATCTACTTTGTGGCCTGCACGAAAACTAAATTTATTAGAGGGTACATTAAAGAAATTTCACCCCTCTAAATTTTTAGTGGTCTACAGAAATATTTAATATTTATATTCAGTCCTTTCTAAAATCCTAGAGAGTCTAATCAATTATTAATAAAAATCCAGACAAATGAATTACAGTTTTCTTAATATCTCTATGCTTATGAGGTGTGATCAGAAAATGACAGGAATTTTCGTTTTTTGGAAAAGATATTTATTTATATATATTAATTTTGTCGCCTTCAAAAAAGTCCCCATCAGATATTATGCCAACGCTTCTTCCAATCCTCGTAACACTTCTCAAACTCGATCTTTAGGATAGTCTTCAGCACATTTATTTTTGGAAATTCATGCATACATCGTTGAACTTGTAGATAGTACTCCTTATTGACATTGACCTCTTGGCAAGAATTTATGATTCACTATGCCATTAAAATCAAAGAATACAGTGAGCATAACCTTTACGTTCGATGGCACTTGTTGAGCCTTTTTCAACGTCGTAACCATAACCCATGTTACGTTACCTGTTATAACATGTTTCAGTAATTCTGCATCATCATTGATTTCATTGACACCTGAGCAACTTTATTTGTCGCTGTTTTTGTTTCAACATTTTTAAAACCAAAAATTTTAGAACAAATTTTGCTGCTACACGTTTCATACCCAAAACACATTTGTAAAAATTTTATGGCATGAGCCAATCGATATTGCAACAACATTAGCTACTTCTTTGATTATGATTCAATGATAGTTCATAACCATTTCTTTCACCTTTTCCACATTTTCATTGGTTGTTAATGTGTGAGGCGTCTAGAGTGTTCGTCATTTTCAACGTCTTCACGCCTATTTGGAAACACTTTTACCACTCGTAAACTTTTGTTTCACTCATGGTAGACTCACCATAGGCCTTAGTTAACATTTCACACACTTTGTTACACCTTATTTTATTTTTTACTCAAAATTTGATTCAAATTTTCTGATCCATTTTTTAACAAAAAAAAATCGCTGACCTTATATAAACATGTCTAACTTTAGCAGCTGTTGCTCACAAAGTAAAAAATATGAAACAATGATAATATTATGAAATAATAGCATTATGTTCATAATAAAGGTTAAATTTACTTAGAAATTCTAGAACTAGATTGAGATCCAATTGTAGATTCAGATCTTAGTGCTCTTGGAGTCCATCTATTTTGAATATCGTCTTTTTCTTCCCAACCACAAACATCTGGAGGAGGTTTTTCTGTGTTAAACTTTCTAATAGAACCTTTAAAATAATATATAACAATTAAAAAAAAGTTTAAGTAAAAAAGACATAATATGTATATCATATATTATACAACAATATTTGCATGGGAAAACTTCCAATAAAATTACAAATTTAATAATCGCTTTTGAAATTGAAATTTTTTCAATTTTTTTGCGTAAAACTGCCATAACTTTTTCAAAAATGTATGGATCAATATAATTTTCTTTTATAGATGCATGATGTCTTTACTTATCATTTAGTATTTTTTTTTTATAAACCTGACCCTATACCTGCCCACAGGGGGAATTTAAAATGACAACTTTTTCACAAAAAATTAACTCTTACACTTAACTTTTGAAAGTGTTCCAGAAACTGACACTTTTATATATATCTTAAATTAAAGATAATGTAATATACTTTATTATGAAAAAAAAAAATTTTGGACTTTATTTTGTTTTCATGGTGAAAACAGTCATCAAAGTTAATAAAAAAATACGATTTTTGTAAAAAAATTTCTTTTTATATTTTTAACTTTATAACGCTATAATGTTTTGAAAAATGTATGAATCAATACAATTTTTTTATAAGAAATAATATTTATATACTTCTTTCATTCGACATACTTTTTTTAAAATCGGACCATTTCCCTTAATACAGGGGCGGTTCAAAACATAAAAATGTATATAGAAAGTAGAAATTTTTCAACTTAACTTTTGTAAGTGTTTCGGAAATACTGACACTTTTATATATATCTTAAATTAAAGATAATATACTTTATCATGAAAAAAAAAAAATTTTGGACTTTATTTTGTTTTCACGGTGAAAATGGCTACCAAATGTTATTTTTGTGTGAAAATTCTCAATTTTAATTTGTACATTTTTAACTTTATAACGCTAGAACTTATTGAAAAACGTGTAGATTAACACAATTTTTTTATGAGAAATAATATTTATATCCCTTTTTCATTCAACATACTTTATCTTAATCAGGATATTAATAAGGAAATAGCAGATCATGTGGCTTTTGGAATAATCCACCAATTTTTTTACAAATAAACACTATCTAAAGATATGTATCAAAGCATTTTTTTGATAGTGAATTTTAATCACTGTCAGATATAATTATACTTGATCCAACTATGCCACGTCATCACTGTAGCCTGACCCCCCTGTTCTGGGTTTTATATATTTAATTCCAAGAAAAGGATTTTTTAATACATCCTTGATTTCTAACAATTAATTATTATAATCTAAGTATTTAAACAATTTAAACTTACTTGCATATAAAAATGATGAAATTGTAACAAGAATAAACTCAATAATTAACAATACTGCAATACCATTTTTTGGAGACATTAAAAAGTTGGCATCACAGTATGGTTCCATATCTGCTTTGTCTTGTTGAGCATAAATTGCAATAAAAATTGCTAGCAAAACAGTCCCTGCATACAAATGATAAAAAATTATTTTTTAATACTTTTATTTATATACAAACATTTTTTTTAATACTCACACAAAGATACAAGCTGAAATGGTATAGCAGCAAGACGAGTGAGACGCGCATAAGCTTTTAAATGCCCACGGCATCTTAAAGTTTTATGATGCATATGTCTAGCAACATGATCAAGCACCTAAAATAAGTACATTGATATAATGTAAAAGGGTAAAAACTATTTTGGATGAGATCATCTTGGCTTTTATCATATAAGTAAAAAATAAATAAGCATAAATAAGTAATATGGAAACTGTTCAATGAAAACTGCTGGCTAAATTTTATTGAGGTAAATCTTAACAAATAAATATATCAATTAAGACTTAACCACCAAATTAATAAACTTTATAACATCAAGTGATTATTCAGTTAAATCAGCAAGTAAAAGACAGACAATTTCAACTTCAAAAATTGAAAATAAAAGAAGGCAAATGAAAATAACCAAGCAAAAACAGTAATAACGCCTTTTCAATGCAGCAAAGAATACAAGGAACATCATAAATCTTCTATCAGTATAGAATTAGTTGGGCAAAATATTTAACAACTGAAATAGAAGACCCATATAGACACTTAATGGTAAATTAGTGAAATATAGAGGAGGAATAAAATTTTCTCTAGGACATTTTCGTTTATGCAAATAAATTATGCAAAAGCCAAGTTACAAATAAAGTTAAAATTAAATAAATATTCAACTGTCTATTTTAAAAAATGAAAATAATATTTAAAAGTGACCAAAGTGTACAACAATATTGGAACTTACTGGTTTAGTTAGTAAAAGAATTGTTGGTAAGTATCCCAACTATAAATTATTAATCAATTATAAATATAAACAAAGGACAAATAGATACTCAACAGATATTATTGGTATTTACACAAAATTTAATTCAGTAGAAAGCAAAGCCTCGCAAGCCACAGACACATAAAAAATAAAAACAATTTCAAAGATGTCATTGTTTTTATTCTTATTTATCTTGAAAAATTATATAATTTTTTAAAATTAAAAACAAGTATGTATACTAAATGGTAAATTAGTAGAATACAGGGGAGAATAAAATATCAATTGACTTGACCAGAAAAATTGAAATAAATTCTACATGAGAAAAACACCTTAGGAATTAGTACTATTTAAATTCTCAAGTACAATAAATATTTCCGATTCTCAAGAAATATTATAACAATATTTATAACAATTATATCAATTTAAGAATATTATATACAATTTCATAGAATTTCACAAAGTAGCCAATAGTTTGTTAGTTAATAGTTGTAGAAAACAGTCTTAATTTTGAAAAATAATTATAAAAGAAATAGAAGTAAATAAATAAGAAGTGGAAACATAAAGAAAAAGAGAAAGACTTAATTTTACTCCTAAATAAACCTATTTTGAAAAAGAACTCCCATATAAGTAGAAAGAACAAAACAATTAATGTCATAAAAGCATATAATAGCTATTGAATTAAAATTATCTTACTATTCGGTTTTTCACAAGTATATATGGTTACTTTTTAATTCATTAATTTTTATCAATAGACATATTTTGAATGTGTTTTTTTTAGTAATGTTACACTTAAAAAATCATAAATTCATTAATTTATTGAGATTTCTTATTGATAAATTTATTTTATATCTTAATAATAAATATGTTTTGAAAAATTATTAAGTTATGTTGAATTTGTCATATAGATATTTATAGATAATATTATTTAAACATAACATTTTACTAGTAAACGTCTTGATTTTTGAATAACAACGTTTTCACATAAAGCTATTATTTATAAATATTTAATACTTAATTTATAAAAATGTAGTTTGAAACTTTATTCCTATACATTTGTATGTATAGTTTATATTTAATTTAAAATACATTATTAATTTTTCAATTGTTTTTAGATCACCTATCTAAACCACTAACAAGAAGCTAGCTTCCCTTATCTGTCAACAATCACACATTTTATTTTATACAGAGTGATCCTATTATCATGAGCAACTAAATTAGACAAGTAATATAAATAAAAATAATTATTTTTTTATTAGTATCTTTTAGTTTCACATTTTTATAAATTTATCAATCATTAATTATATTTTATGTTCATCCCTTATACTTTACAAGGGTGACAATTTTAGTGTTTCAAATAACAATGTACATAATAAACTAGCTTATTTATTAGATAATTATTTAATTAAAAAAATGACTTTTAAAATTGTACTGAAGAAGTTATTAATATTTTTAAATATAGAGTGAAAGATGAGCATACTAGAATAATGTGTAATGATAAAAATAACAACCCATATCTCAAATTCACTCTATATTTTTTAAAATAGTTGTAACTTACGAAATACTCTTTCAAAAGTTGTATCGACCAGTTATTTTTTTAATTAGATCATTATCTAATAAATAGGCTAGTTAATTAGGTATGTTGTTATTTGAAAAATTAAAATTGTCATCCTTGTAAAGTATAAGGGATGAACATAAAAAATACTTGAAACTAAAAGATACTAGTAAAAAAATGATTAATTTTATTTTATTATTCAAATAATTAATTAAGTGGTTCATGATGACAGAAATACCATGCATAGGAGGTTATTTTTACAAAATACTTACTAAAAATAGGAACCATACACAACAGTGAGCATATACTAAGGTGTATAATGGTTCACATTTATCTTTTTCATCAGGGTTAGGGTTAGGAATTATGGTAGTAGTTGGTACTGAAATTGAAGTAGGCTGAGTCTTGTTGGATTGATAATCATTATCTGGCAAGTGAGACAAATGCCAAGGTGTTTCATTTAACATTTGAATCGAATTATCATTTTTTATATTTGTAAAAATATCTGTTGTCCACAAAATTGCTAATATAACTAAAACTGCCTAAAAATAAATAAAATATATATATATATAAGACTAGTTATTTAATAATATTTAATAAAATGAAAAATTCAAGTATTTTTTAAATTTTGAACTAAAAAGTATAGAAAAAAACGAGAATTTTTCATTTCTTAACCCTTTATATTTAAAAATATTTTAAGTTTCAAATTTAAAATAACACTATCCAAAAAAAATATGAACATTTTTTTAAATTGTTTTACTGTGTTTTGGTGGATAAAAATTAATAATCTCAACATTTTTACATGTTAGTATTTATGCTCTGATTTATCTATATTAAAACAATCCACATCAAATTTTTTCAAGACTAAGTTGACATACTAAAACATAGTTAATATATTTATACATAAATATACAAAGTGAAAAAATATTTTTTTAATAAAATTTGAAAACAAATTTAAGAAATTGTAACATTTTAAATTTTGGACAAAAATTCATAGATTTTTGAAGTTTAGTATATGTAAAAATTATGTGGATAAAAATTGAACTTTTTAGTATTGTATTAAATTCTTCAAGATTGTAGCTATCATTTGATATACTATTATTTGATTTTTAACAGTTATTACAATATTTAGACAACTTTAAAAGCTTGAATTTTAAAAATATTTGTCTTGATAATAAATATTTAAAGAGAAAATTAATGTATTAATGAAACAGTCTAAAACATTTCTAGAAAATATTTAAGATTTATGAATGTTATTTTAATGTATCATAGTTATCTATTATAATTCTAATAAAATAAGAACTAAATTAATGATGTCATATAACAAGTTTTATTTTTATTTGTTTTCTTACTAACAGTACAACATATGTGAGTTAAAGCAATCCATGGTTGTTGTTGAGCTTGAAATTTTGAATTAGAGCACTTCTTTCTGCGGTTTCCATCACATTCAGGTACTAGATTCGAGTGATCATTTGTATCAAAAATATCGTTTTCAGGACAATTGTTTAAATTAGTACAGCTATTAGAATTATTTGAAGCACAATACCAAAAGTGACGACAGCAGCAACATCCACAACAGTTTTCACGAGGTTTGTTTTTTAAAATATTCATTTTCTAACTTTATAATTAAAAAAATTATGTTAATTACATAGATTAAACAGACTACTACAACTGCTAAAATACCTTTTAACACAGATTTACTATTTCATTTTTCATATAATAACATTTTAAAATATTATTTTACAAATAGTACATTATGTATATTTTTAAACGAAAAATGACACCTATCTGCTAACTCCAAGTTTTTTAGCTAGTAGTATTTCTTTTTCAGTCAAATTGAACAAATTACAATATGCGACTAATAAATATTTTAGTAATTACGTTCTTCTTCAATAATCAATGATCATGAAATTCTATAAGTATATTATACCTTATTTAACTTAATGTTTAGTGAATCTTATACATTTAATAATTAAAATATTAACATTTATTGTGTTTTATCACTTATTATTTCTTTACTCGGTAAACTTTTATGGGTGGCTGGCCAAATCGGAAAAATACTTATCAGCTATTAAATAGCACAGAACAATATTTCATGGAACAATAAGTAATTAGAATGATAATTAATATTATTTGTTAAATTTATGGTCAAATGAAAACTTTCAAATCATTCCGCTAGTGATATTGACCGATAATTATTATATAATTATAAGTATACTTTATACGCGTTCTCACGGGTAATGATGTGTAGGACAAACTAAAAATAAAAACCATGAGGTGAAAATCTATTTTAAAGAGGTTTAAAAAATCTTAAATATATCAGTCTTTTGATAAAATTTTGAGAAAACTTCTAGTAAACTTAACTTGTAACTCGTTATTGTAATTATTATTGGAGCATATTAGTAAAAGTTCGGACACTTACAAATCGTTTAATAAAATATGTTAATAACTTATCATTTAACCAAAATGGTTCAAACTTCAATGAGTAAAGTGAAAGAAAAAGTTTCTATGTCGGTGGTGTATTTAAAACTCATTTCAAGGGGAAGACTCAACTTTTTGCTAACGTGATAGGCAATCTAAAGAAAATATTCGATTAAAAGTTATCAAAAATAAAGTGATGGACAAAAAAAACGTCTTTATAGACATGTTTCGTAAATAATTCATAAAATATTGATAGCACTGAACCAGGGAGTGATCGCCCTACTGTGCCCTTAAAGATATGCCCCTAACTATGACATAGACTTTCCTACTAGATCATGTCCTGACATGGTCGCGCCTATAGAACACCAAACTACAAATTTGTCCACTTCTCAAAGTTATAAAGAAATGGTTTTTTTATGGTTATTTTTTCTCGATTTTTCAATAATAATAATTTTTTTAATTCAACCATTATACATAATAAAAGTTTTAACATCACTTTTTAAATGGTAACATACATATTTAACTAGATAATACTATGAAAAATCATCTAATTACAAAAATTACTGGTCGATTACAACTTTTAACACATTATTTCGGAAATTTATTTTAAAATATAAAAGGTAGGTGAAGTGTGGTTATGTTGTTTTTATCATTACGCATAACTCTGTCGCGCTCTTCCTCCACTCTTTATTTTAAAATGTTAATAACTTCTGATATAATGAGTTTAAAGTTTACATTGACCATTTATTTTCTTAATTAGATCATTTTTTATTTTATAAGCTAGTTAAATATGTATTGTTACCATATGTTAAATATGTGTTACCGTTAAAAAAAAAAATGTTGACACCCTTATAAGTTAAATTAAATTAAAAATTTAATAATTAATAAATCATAAAATTAAAAAATACGAAGAAAATTTTTTTTAAGACATTAGAAATGAGCATAAAAAATATTTTATTATAGATAAATGGAAATACATATGCAACTAACAAAAGCCAAAAATTACTATTTTAAGGGAAATCGAGTGACAATCATAAAAGAATCGCCTGTATTTGGTAGAATTAATTTTCATTAGTCATTAATTCAGCATTAACTAAGAAGTAATTTAAATTGCTTCTTAGTTAAAATTCTTTGTGTGATAAATGTATAAGAGTAACGACTTGATTTCTGATGTCTATAATCAATAATTTTAATGAAAGGATTAATTTTATATTTTTTTTTATAAAATAAAGAAATTATTACATACAATTTTTTAGTAAAAAATTATTATGAAAAAGGATTCTTTAAAAAGCCAGTGTAGGGACAACTAACTTTTTTTGCCCTCTCTCCCAGTAAAATTCATGTTTCTAGGAATGCTATACTTCCAAAACTTTCATACATATGGATGCTAAATATTTGTATCTCTGTCGGGTTTACTGTATTTTAATTAAATTATATAAAAAAAAAATATATATAAATATGCAGAATATATGTAAATTGTAGAATGAAACTTATTCTACAATTTACGTATTTACGTGGAGATAGGAAAAAAAAATCCTAATATTATTTTCAAAATGGATTTTGTTATTTTAAAAGATAAATAGAATGCGTCAATTTTTCAACATACACATTTATTATAGTAATTAACTAAGACTAAATATTTCATAGATTATTGTTTAGGTGGACTCTTATTAAAAATTATAATAATTTTAAATTTTAATATTAAAAAATGTGAGTTGTTACAAGAAAAAAATTTCAATATTTATTATTTTTGAAAACTGTCCTTTCTAATTTTAATATTTACAGACATTGCACATCACAAATAACTAATCACTAGTTGTTTATTATTTATTTGATTATTAATATATAACTACTAAAGTGTTTTAATTAAATAATGATTTATAACCTATGAATATAAAATATTTTCTTTAGGAAATTATTAAATGAGCTAAAATTAATGTCGATATTTATACAATCAAATTTAGCGCCGTTTGTACTTATCATGTGTGCTATTTTACTTATCAGTTTCGTCAATTCATAGATGGGTTTAAAGTTGCCTTCCGGCCAGGCTATGACACGCGAATTATTAACACGTTACCGTTTAAACTTTGTGACAATATTCTTAGTTAAAATTATAGAACTTAGTTATTAATTTATTATCGTTATTATTATTAATTTTAACATTAAATTATTTTACATAGTACATTTTAGTAATCATTGTTTAGTATTATAATTTTCATTTAATAATTTATTTTTAATTAAAAAGAAAAGTAAGCGTATAGCCTATTTAATATAGTTCTTTAGTTATAACTCATTAACATAACAAATGTAACAAATTAACAAAAAATTCAAAATTTTTTTTTTAGTTATGGCAGATCCTTTAGTTGTTGCTGCAAAAAAAGCTAAGTGGGAAGCAATGAAGAAAAAACAAGTAATCAAAGTTGGTGACCATGATTTAAATAATTATTTTGAATTAAATAGACCTGATCGTCCAAGTCGTTGTACATGGTCAAGAAATGCTTCTCAAGATCAGTCGCCACACACTCACTCTGAAATTGAGTACTAAAAATCAATTATTTTGTAAAAAATTGTAATTTTTAATTAAATAATAAACTATTATTTTATACAGAAATGGAAGTGGTGGTATATTACCAAATGTTTTGCATGCTATTGGACATACGCCTCTAATAAGACTTAACCGTATTCCACAATCTGAAGGAATAGAATGTGAAATACGTAAGATTTAAATAATTATTTTTAATTAAAATTTTGTATGTTTAATAAATTATGTGACTTATAGTTGCTAAGTGTGAATTCTTTAATCCTGGTGGCAGTACCAAAGATAGAATTGGATGGAAAATGATAGAAAATGCTGAACAGCAAGGATTACTAAAACCAGGAATGAATATTATAGAGCCTTCTTCAGGGAATACTGGTATTTTTTAAGAAATTTTAATTTTAAAAATGAAATGATTGAAAGTGTTGCCCTTACTCTAATAATGATTAAATTAAAAAAATAAAGAGATATTTGTTTTATGTTTTTATTTTCATATTAACAACATAAAAATTAAATACCATTTAATTTTACTTAATATATAATTAATAATAAAAAATTTTTCGTTAATAAATCAATAACCAAATCATTTTGTTGAAATTTATAAAACAAATAAAAATTAAAATTGTTAAAAAAAAAATTATGATTTTTTATTAACACTTAACTGATTTAAAATGTTAGGTCACTTTTGGTACAAGTTTAATAAAATTTCAAGATATATTTAGAATTTTATAACACTATATATATTGTAAAGCACATTTTTAAATTTTATTGTGAGGGTATTTCAGATTCCCTCTCAATAATTTCGATTATGTTAATTATCATGTCCAGGATCTTATAGATGCTATTTATAGTCTTATATATGCTTTATTATATTCCTTTTTAACTCCATTTATTAGCTGTTTGTATAGTGGCATCTGTTGCTTTTGCCAAGTCTTCAGATGTGCAAGACACTGAGTTTAGAGGGTATATTAGTATATGTTAATCACTTTTACGTTTCTTAATGTTATATTCCTATTTATGCAGATTTTTCTTTATTTGGGCAATACCTACTCCTAATTTATTGAGTGTTTTTTATTCATTGCGATGTTCAGGTGGTAGTTTTTCCATTGGTCTTAGTTTGAAGTCATGGTTTGGATCATTCTGTTCATCTTTGAAATTGTTCATGATCAAAAGATCATGTTGTAAGATCTGAAGTTGATTTCACAGTTTTTTTTTATTTCAGCCTGTTCAGCATCGATTGGTATCTATAGAATGGGTATCCTTCATCATGATTCATTTGCTTGTGCATCACTGAATATACTTTTTCTGATATTAGGGATGCTATGTTAGCTAAAATCTATACCAAAGGCATGGGTGTTGGCCTGAAGCACCCATTGATTAGGCAGCATGTTTTGTTCAAGGCTAATCCATTTTTTTTGCGTGACACAATCTACTCCATACTACGCATGTATATTCTCCACTTAAATAGCATAAGGCAAGTGCTTTTGTTCGTAACAACTGGATTAATTTTTATGTAGGTTGTTTAATTTTGTAATTTTTATTTTTTCTCAATTTTAAAGGTTAATATCCCGGCTAAAGTGACTACTAGATAGGTGGGTGTTTATGTTTATGTGTATGTTCAAGATTGATGCCAACCATTGATGTCTCCCAACTGTAATTTTAGTTCTTTCTTGCCTGCTTATTGTTGAGATGAAATACACATATTTGCATTTTGCTGAGATGGGTTTTAGTGAGTTCTGTTTATAATACATGTTCAATTTTTTAAGCGCATGTGTGAGTATCTGTTCTTCAATGAACATTTTCTCTTGCGCAGTTATCGTTAAATTGTTGGCATATAAGAAATGGTAAATAGTGGAAATACTAGTAAATATTGATGTGTTGAAAACTCAGATTAGAAAAAGTAAATTGTGATTTTGAGGAAATTGTTGATTAATTAAACCGGACAATTGGTTTTTCATAAACCATTTGATTACTTGCAAAATAAATATAATAATGGGAAAAAAATTTTGGTATTTTTTAGTTACGTATATTTCTTCATTTATCAACTAAAAATATCTTTTTAGAATTATCCCTTATTAACTTATAAGGGTGTCAACATTATTTGTTTAAATGTCAACATACATATTTAACTAGCTTATTAAATAGAAAAAGATGTAATTATTAAAATGATTGGTCGATAAAAACCTTTGGACCAGTACTTAGGAAGTTATTTTCAACACCCTTGTTTCACCTCCAGTCATTACTTTATATTGTTACAATAATAATCATATTAAAACAATTCTTTTTGGTATTTTTTAGTTTTTATAAATTTCTTGATTAATTAGTTTTTAAATTAATTTTAATTCATTCTTTTATGTATTAAGGTGTTATCTTTATTTTTTTTAAATGGCAACTTAACTTACATATTTAACTATCTATTAAATTAAGAAAATAACGAGTCAATAACAACTTTTGGATTAGTATTTCAGAACTTATTTACAATTTAAAGTGTTAACTGAAGGATAAGCATGGGTGCTGAATATAACTTCCTAAATACTGGTCCAAAAGTTTTTATCAACTGGTCATTTTCTTAACTACATCTTTTTTATTTTATAAACTAGTTAAATATGTATGTTGCCATTAAAAAAAATAAGGTTGACATCCTTATAAGTTATAAGGGATGATTCTAAAAAGTAATTATTAGTTGATAAATGAAGAAATATACATAACTAAAATATCAACAAATTTTTCCCATTATTCTGTTTTTTTTTATAAATAAATGAGTGATTCATGATAAATTGATCACTCTGTCTATACTCAAACAATTGTTTTATGATAAATTATTCTTAATTTTTATAGTGCATTGTTTTTAAACCTAAAATAGTTGAATTTGATAATCTGATAAGTTAATTATTGTACAAAATAATTTTTTTTAGACTTATTACATTAAAAATTGACTATAAAGAACAATTGGTTACTTGTGTATTGTTAAAGGTTTTAAATGCAAAAATGATGTAAAGTAATTCTTAAAACTCTTTAAACTCAAATTTTTGTTTATATTTTGGTAAGCTTCATAGGCACAAATAGAATAATTTTGTTAAAAATGCTAAATTAATTATTTTCCCACTTAAAAATTTTTTTATACAACAATATATTTAATTTTTGAAGGAGTAAAAGTTTTACTTTGTGTGCTAAGCTTTCCTTAAATTTCTTCTAGTTATGCCTATTGTAAATCAAAAACTATTAATTCAAAAATAAAAAATTTTCTTGAGTTTTGAATTATTGTGGTTCTTTTGAATTTTATTATTTACATCATTGAGTATAAATTATTTTATAATAAAATACAGTAGTTAAACCTATATAAGGGATTAAAGTATCAATATATGTAATATTGATTTTAAGGAATTGGCTTAGCAATGGCTGCTGCAGTTAAAGGATACACTTGTACAGTAGTTATGCCTTTGAAAATGTCTCGTGAAAAAGTAGATGCACTCAAGTTATTAGGTGCTAAAATTGTTCGTACACCAACTGAAGCAGCATTTGATGAACTTGATAGTCTTATAAGAGTAGCTCATAAATTACACCTAGAAGATCCTGAAAATACGATAATACTTGATCAAGTATACTAATTTTTTTATTATATATTAATAGGTTTTAACAATAAAAGTCATTAGCCTCTAATTTGGATGTAGAATATATTATTTATATGTTTTTAAATAGTGTATATACAATTATTATATTGGTTGTTATATTAATATTACTTAAAAAAATATTGATTATCATTGTTTGGTCTTATTTGAGAGCTTCTGATGAAATAGACATTTGTCAACTATGTAATTAACCATTAAGATTTTAGAGCATCTGTCACATATTGATTGAGATTGGTGCACTATATATAGATATAAATATTTTCACTTCAAATTCAAATTTAAAATATCAATTTTTTCTTTTTAAATTTATATATTATTGTAAAAAATTAATAAATAAAATATTATCTTTCTTTGGAGTAACTCGTACTGCATTAAATATAAATTCAAGTTGATTTTGGTATTTTGTGTAATGAGTATATTTTTATATTGATGGCTTTATTACCAATTTTCTAATAAAATAATTAATTTGAAAATAAATCATTCAGTTGAAGCTTCTGATTTCTAAACAAAATATTTTATTAATATAAAATAGGAATTGAAAACATTATTATTTCAAAAATTTCATTTTAGTTAATAAATCTAACTATTTAGATAATTTTTTTTTATAAACAGATTGCAAGTGGTTTTGAAATATCAATGTAACAAACAAAATGAACAATATTTTTTGTAGTGAAACGAGCTATGATTTATAGTTTAGAATGAGTGTAGCAGAGATGAGAATGCTTAGATGGATGAATGACTAGAGAAAATATAATATGGACGAATATATAAGAAGGAGTATAGGTATAGAGTCAATCATGGATAATATGAAAGAAAATAGACTTGGATGATTTTGTCATGTTGAGGAGAGAGGAATTAGAAGCTCTAAAAACAGTTATGGAAATTAATGTTATAGGAAGAAGATATAGAAGGATGTTATTGAATGTAATATGAAGACAACTGATATGTACGTACATTATGTGTTAGATCGTGTCAAGTGGAAGTTTAGAATATTGGGGCAAACCCTAAATAGTTTGAATAAAGGAGAAGAGGAATTAAAATAATTGTATATTATGTAGGCTTTCCTGCCCTTTCTCGCTTTTAGATGGGACATTAAACATAATTAGTATGATAAAAAAAAAAATTAAATAAGTATAATTTCATAAATCACTAAAAAAATGAAAGTGATATTAATATGATTACGTATAATTTTACAGTATCGAAATAAGTATAACCCTTTAGCTCATTATGACACAACAGGAAAAGAAATTCTGGAACAAACTGGTCGTAATATTGATGCGCTTGTAGCAGGTACTGGAACAGGTGGTACTATAACTGGTGTAGGTCGTTGCTTAAAACAAGAATTAGGAGATAAATGCCGTGTAATAGCAGCTGATCCTTATGGGAGTATTCTTTCATTACCAGAGAGTCTAAATGAAACAGATGTATCTGTGTATCAAGTAGAAGGTATTGGATATGATTTTGTGCCAACTGTATTAGGTATTATATTTTGATATTGAATTTCTAAAAAAAAATACATTTATTTAATATGATTATTTGAAATTTTACAGATAGGTCAATCGTGGATGAATGGATAAAAACGGATGATAAAGAAGCACTTAATATGGCTAGAAGATTGGCTCGAGAAGAAGGTCTACTTTGTGGTAAATAAATAAAATTTATTTTTAAATAGCATGAAAATATAAAGTTATGAAATTAATTTTAGGTGGAAGTAGTGGGTCTGCTATGTGTGTTGCCTTAAAAGTAGCGCGTAAAATGAAAAAAGGTCAGCGTCTAGTTGTAATTTTTCCAGATGGTATACGAAATTATATGGGAAAATTTGTCCAAGAAGAATGGATGGAAGATAAAGGTTTTTTAAAGGGTCACTGTTATAACAATACAAACCAATAGTTGTTTCTTGACAATATCATTTAATTTTATGAATTGTTTAATTAAAAACAGTATACGATAAAATTAATATTTTCTATTATTTGAAATTTTAACTAAGAAAAAAAATGATATGGTTTTTATTTTTTCATAATTTTTATATTATAAAAATATTTTAGATTTAAATGCAATTTCAAACCTTTAACACAACATAATAAAAATGTAGAAGTTAAATTTTATTTAGTCAAGCTTTTCAATTGTTGAAAAACTAAAAATTGGTAAAAATCTCTTTTTTTTTTTTTATTTAAAAACACACTTATTATTCACGTTTCTATTACAATTTCAAAATCATCCCAATCTCTTAATAAAAGACTATCTCCACACTCTAAAAAATTCTCGACGTACACTAAAAATAAAATAGTGTCGTGATTTGTTCCAAACCCATTAGTTGCAATAATTAAAGAAATAAAAAATAAATGACAAATATTAAAATGCAAGTGTTGCTAATGGGTGACTTCTTATCAAGTTTACATGTCATGTATATACTCTTATCTTATAAGCTTATCGTAAAAAAAATTCTATAGATTATTTATGTCAAAAAAAAAAGGTTTAGTATAAATTTATTATCATTTTTACATATAGAGTGTATAAAGATCGTGCAGTGTTATGTGTAACGATAAAAATAATACTCACATCTCACATCTTTTTATATTTTTATATATTAAATAATTAAACATTCGAAATAATGGGTCAAAACTTATAATTTATTATCAACTAGCTATTTTTTTATAAATGTATTAAATATTATTGTGCCCTTCATTTCTGGACAGCTTTAAATGTGCCGAACAAAGTAAAGAATTGTGATTAGAATTTTATTAGTCTTAGTAGTAATACCTATGCCCGTGTACTGGCCAGTCTGAAATACCTTCAGACAGTAGAGGTAAAAAGTAGTACTAAATTTATGAAAAAATATTTTTGAAATGTGTTATATCTATTGACAAGCCAGTTCTAGAGTTAGTAGTCCAGATAGAAATTCCCGGGTGTTTATAAGTTTAAAAAAATAATTTGTACCGACGACCTATCTTCTATTTGCAAATATCAGACAAAGTTGAACAAAAAATAAGAGTTAATTTTGCTTTTGGAGTAATCCATTAATTTGTTAAAATTAGACATAATCTACATAATTACATTGAAACGTTTCTTATAAGAGTGATTTTAATCACTATCAGATCTTATGTATACTTGTCTCAACTATGTCACGTCCACACTGCCGTGACCACTACTGTACTACGGTTTTTTATTTACATTTATTTTTTCTCAAAATTTCGTTTTTGCCGGTTGTTTATTTTATAAAAATAAAAAATCAATATTTTTCAAATCCCAAAATAATTGTCTATTTATTGGTAGCAATTTAAAAGTTTTATAGCTAGATTTATAATTACGATCAAACATGTACAAACATGTACAAAACAAAAAATGTATTTATGTTTTAAATTTTTATAATGATTTAATAGTTTAATGAACGCTTAATTACTACAAAAACAAATGATGGAAAAATCTACAAACATGATAACTGGTCGATAGAAACTTTTGTATGATTACTTTGAAAGTTTTTAACATTTTTATGCCTTGGCGTGCGGAGAGGTGTGGCCGAGAAATGTCTAATGATAAGTATAATCAAACGTATGATTATTCTATGAATTTTCCTTTGTGTAAAAAAGTATTCATAGTAAAGAACGAAATTAAAAAATAGGCAAAATAATGATAACCGCGTAAATAAAGAAATGTTATTGAATAATAAAAAACCCAGCACAGTGGGGGCGTGGCAAAGTTAGGTCCAGCATAATGATATCTGACAGTGATTAAAATCACAATCGATGCAAATCTGTAGATAGTGTTTAATTAAAAAAAAATAATGGATTATTCCAAAAGTTACAGGATCTCCTATTTCATTATTTATATTTTGATTACAAGTTATATGATTTAGAAGTGTAATATATGAATAAATAAATAAATATATATATATATAAATATAAATAGTACTTATCTCAAAAAAAATATATATATAGATCCATACATTTTTCAAAAAGTTATAGCATTATAAAGTTAAGAATATAAAAAAGAATTTTTTTACAAAAATCATATTTTTTTTATTAACTTTGATGTTTGTTTTTACCATGAAAAAATGTTTTTTCATAATAAAGTATATTACATTAGCTTTAATTTAAGATATATATAAAAGTGTCAGACTTTCCGGAAAACTTTCAAAAATTAAGTTCAAAAAGTTGTCATTTTAAATTCCCCCCGTGGGCTGGTAAAGGGTAAAATTTATAAAAAAATATATCAAATGATAGGTAAGTACATTATGCATCTATTAAAAAATAAAATTATATTGATTTGTTTAATTTTGAAAAAGTTATGGCAGTTTTAAGTAAAAAAATTTCGAAAATTAGCGATTTTTAAATTTGAAATTTTTTTGGAGATTTCTACTATTTACGGGGAATGAGAGAAATTTTTTCAATTTTTGAGGGTAATGTCTTCGACTAGATATGATTTGTGATCTTTTGACGTATTGTTAAAAGAAATCGGTTCGGTAAGAGCTGAAAAAAAGTGGTAACAGATACAAAAAAATAAATTAAAAAAAAAAAACAAATCATAGTAAAGTTAATACCTTCTCAGCTTCGCATCGAAGCTAAAAAATAAATCTGAAGTTGTTACCAAACAAAGCTGCCTTAATGTTCCTATTGTAAAACTTTCATTAATATAAATTTTTTTATATAATTTAATTTTAAATAATTTTCCAGAATTTAAAAATGTTTTATGAGTTTAGTGTATACTGAATATTGTGGTCTTCATAGACTTAGTAATCTTTTCATTATTATTTGGGATTCTTTCCTACCGTATTACTGGATTTAAAGGAAAAAAGAATTATAAAGTTTTATTAAATTATCCTTTGCCCTGTCTTCAAGCTTTTATTTTTTTTTTATAGTATCGGTTGTTATTGTGTAATTATAATGAAATGTCAATATACTTAGCGAAGGCTGCTTTGTAAAAAAAATCTATTCTATTAAAGTTACGGTGAACCAATTTAAACGCGTTTACTGGAAAATAATATAATTTTTCTTTATTATGTAGTGGTATATTTCTGACATAAATATATACCAATATTATTATAACTTAAATTAATTTTACTTGGAAAGTCTTTATGAAAAATAGCAAAAAGGATAATTTAGCCATTGAAATTATTTATTTAATAAACGTTTTTGAAGATTTAAGGAAAAACTTTTGTAAATATAAACTGAAAAACCCAAAACAATGGTGTTGTGGCACAGTGAGAAAAAGTATAGATGATATCTAACAATGATTAAATCACTATCATTAAAAACATTTCCATGCAAATCTGTAGATAGTGTTTAATTTTTACAAGAAATTGTTGGATTATTCTAAAGCAAATTAACTCTTATCTCCTTAATTATATCCTGATGTTTTATGATTTACAATTATTCAAGTGCCTGAGTGGGAATATTATTAGTAAATTCTAACTTTTTTTAATGTGCGTAATAGATGAGTTTTGACTGATTTAACGGCACTTCCTACAGACCGCTAAAGTGCAGACTGCAGACAGGAATGAATCATTGTGCTAATTTCTTTAACTTGTTATTCTCTGTTAGGTTTGTGGTATTAAATTATTATATATACTTCTATAAATACCGGGTGAACTTTCTTTTGTTATATCTTGTGACATAATACTTTTTTTTTCTATTGTAATATATATGCGACTACTTTTAATAATAATGGTAGCGATGAGTACCTATTGACTATGTCGCAAAGGGGTCTTTGGCTGTAGTAGCCGTAACGGTTAATTTTTTTTGCTCTCGTCTGTAATACTTGTTGTAATACAGTTGCTGTTAAGGTAACAGTATTCGTTTTGATTTAATCAGTTAAGACCTGTTTACAAACATCATTTTTTATCAGCTGTACAGCATTACAACCATGTGAATCTACCTGTTAGCTAAACAACGTTTTTTCTTTATTAATTCGAGACGGATAAGTAATATTGTTTTTAATAGTGCGAAACGTTATTTAGTTACGATTAGTCTTAGGTCATGTTTATTGACTTCGTCGGTTGACCGTAAATACATATGCGCACCGTACACACGGATCGAAGTGTCTGCTAAATCATATACTTTAAGTTTTGAAAATACCATACAACCGATTATACACGAGGTATTGTGATTTTTTTCACGTCGGATAATAAACCGGCTATAATATTGATAGGTATTGTTGTAAAACAGGCTAATTTCAATATTTGATTTAATTTAAAACTCTAACTTGGATGCAAATCGCCAGAAACTACTTATTTCTTGATGTTACACTTTCTACGCGTAATACAGCGTGATATGACATATAATACGAAATATGTCTATTGATTCAGCTGTTATTTCTTCCATTTGAACTAGTTGTTTATATATTGTATATATTTATTGCGTTGATTTATTTCTTTTTTAAGTTGATTTTCTGTTTGCTAAAAATCGTCAAGAGCAACTGATTATGATTATCCTAGTTGGCTATAATTTTCTATTAGTGGTAATTCGACAAAAAATTTTCCATCATCATTTTATTTTAATTTTTTCTTGAAATGTTGAATACATTCATTTTCTTTTACAATTAGTGGTTCTTGTGTTGTAATTTCTTCTATTTTCTAAAATATAGTTTTTTGATTTTTTAAATTGTTATTGAAAAGTACTGAAGTGGCCTGTATAGAGAATGAATTAAGTTTTGAGTTACATATATTTTGAAATGATACAACCTAAATTTACTTCTTGAAAGACGATTCCTTCTCGTTAAATAGCATAATTGTACTCTAATTAATATATTTATTTTTCTAGGACTAATGTCAGCTAACTGTATGCGATCGAATATGTGTAGTTTTAAAATATTAATCGGCTCTATGGTATATATATATATATGTAACTTTATCTAATTTTAAAAACATCACACCCAAAGAAAAACCTCAATCAAAATTGAAAGAGAAATTTTATCAAGGGTTTATGATAATGTTTTATTAATACGAACAAAATAACTATTCTTATAAATAATTATTGTTCAAGACAAGAAAAAAAAAAATCATATTGATAAATATATCATTGATTCAATAGTAATGATATATTTATCAAATT